CCCGTCACCGTCGGGAGACAAGCCTGTTGATAATGGTCACTGAAACTGGCCAGTGAACACTGGTTGAGGGGCATCGCGTCCCACCCAAGACAAATATTGCTGACATCGCAAAAACAAATGGTTTATAAGGGAAAAGTGCAGTAAAATGTGAATAACTTCAAAAGAAGCAATAAAAATATTCCTTTTTGGTTTAGAACCAGCTGACGTGCGACTTTGTCTGCGTCTATCAATAGGAATAAATTTATCCCGTTCTTGCAACATTTGTCATTGATGCTGAGCTCCTATTGGTCGTAGCGTGATGTTACATAACCATAACCTCGATATGGCTTTCCAACACTAAAAGTATTTTCAATTGGTACCAGTAGTTCCTGAGATTACCACGTTCAACATAACAAATTCTTCAGTTTTGTAATATTAGTATTGATTTTCAATTAACCTTTAATATAATCGAGACCCTACATTAAGATGATATACTGAAATGTGCGTCAAATGTGACATCAAATGTTGATGTTTTAACGATTACGGTTTTAGCTGGCTATAAATACTCACAATGATTTCATTAAATTGTCGGACTGTTAAGTGTGTAAAACTAAGATTACAAAATAAAAGGTTTGTTTTATAATCTGAGGTGTGAAAATGAACTGGTCGACATCAGACGACAATTTGTGAGAAGACTCGGGTTTTTAATATTATTATCACATTATTAGGTATACCTACTAATAGTAGCTGTGTCGCAATTGTGGCCCTATGCGATACTACACTACATGCACGTTAGTGGTAAATGTATGTTGTAACCTATCGCTATGAAAATCGTTTACAATATAAATACACAATCTGCAAAAATACTGTTATAAATTATTGTTTAAAAAAACTAAAAAAACACGCTTTTGTTGCTAGCCGAACTAAAAAGTAGGAAATAATATTCTATACGTTCAAAAAGAAAAATCATTTTATCGTAAAAAAGCGTGGGGTGCTAGATCTTAATTGTTGTGTGTATTTTTTAACAAGCAGAATAGCAAGCAGGAAGCAAATATAGTTAACAAGCAGAATTACCCACTTTATGCTTAAGGCTCTATAAAAACTTCCGTATTAGTCAGCTGAGTACAAGTGGGCATTATCCGACTTCAGTGATGGTTTAGTGAGTCGTTAGCTATCAAGGAGTGACTGAGCTACATATATTTTTTCGTGAAAAAGGTGTCAAAACATCAGCACGAGTGTATCAAGATACGGTTCCTGAGAAGGTGGTTAAGCCTTTTAACAACATCATGTTCTATAGCCAAGAATGTCAGTAAGACTCAGTACCTCATCAAGCTCGTTCCACCCAAACGTGGTTGGAATCGAACACTTCCGACTTCATCAGACCTGAAGACTGGCCGTCATCTAGTTCCGATCTTAATCCGCTGGATTATGATTTGTAGTCAGTTTTAGAGAGTATGGCATGCTGTACACGCCATGATAACTTTGAGTTTCTATAATAATTCACAAGTAAAATATTCATTTTAACATATTCAAAGCATCATTGTCCGTGTGGTGACGGATGAAGAACAGAGTGTCACCACCCCTATTCATCCCGTGGGTGTCGTAAGAAGCAACTACGGGACCAAATTAAGCAGGACAATAACACTGCTGAGAGAAGGAAAACTTGACACAAACCCTATACCAACCCGTCTGGCCAGCGTGGTATAGTAGGCCAAAACCTCCTATCTAAGGAGAGGCCTATGTCCAGTAGATGACGCCTTTCTATGATGATGAAAAACTAACGTAAGTACATTACAATGATAAATATTTTATGCAATAGAAAAAAAATCATTTTTCCTTGTAACGTTATTTATTCCAAGACTAGGACTACACATATAGGTATTGTAGAAAAATATTTAAATAACACCTTTTTAGATTAATTTACCTGAAGTGTTCGTTACATACAGTTATTTACGCGATCACTAATTGTCGCCATCACGCCGCGTCGCCGTTTCGGATTAAATTAAGAAACCAATTCTTTGTCTTCTCCGTACTCCGGTGACAGCGACATCTACACCCAAATTCGTCATGCACGTGTACTCAATCAGCCATCTTTATATTGCCATAGCAACGGCAACTTGTTTATTTCCCTGTAAATGTACGCTAACCGTATTCGTAATGTGATCTAAGTTTACCTAATATTACTTGTCAAATATTACTAAAGAAACTTAACGATGGTGTAACATAAACAAGACCAACATAATGTATAGGTAATTATGAAAAAATTAGAAAATCTATAGTTTAAAAATTAAGTAAAAATTAAGAGGCGTTTAATTGGTGTTTTGTTATTGTTATTTAATAATATTGTTTTTATACAATTTAATTTTTTATTTTATTTCTATCTTATGTTCACGTAACAAAACAGTTTAAAGTTGACCGTTAATTAATCGCATGGCCTGGTGACCCAATTTAGTAGGGAACAAAATAGTGAAGTGATTGCAAAGCAGAAATAAGGATGAATGGTACCTGTTCCGATAGTTATACATCATTCAAAATGCTGGTAAGAGAATCCTAATTCTGTTTTATAAATGCGATAGTGTTTTGTTTGTTTATTACTTTTTCACTATACTCCTATAAAGATCCCATGTGTCACAGAATTTTGAGAAAAATACGCGTGCTGAAATTACCCGACGGACCCTACCAACAAAGCTATGTTTTTTAAATTTTGCTTACCTACATATTGTAACAAATATTTTTCCAGAAAAAATAAAACTTATTCCATTTTGTACCAGCTTTATTATTTTATCTAGGTGTAGCTTGAATAAATTCAAAGCAACTTGTACCTAACGAGTTTTCTGAAAAGTAGGTCCTCACGATAAACAAGTCAAAGGTGTTTTTGTTAGCAAACCTGTTCTGGTTTTGAATAGGAACAATGATAGAGTGGTGAGAAAATCATCGTTAAATTCAGAGTTCTTTTTAATAATTTAAAATGAGTTTCAATTTTTTTGTTTCCTTTTTCTATAAAACACAAACCTACGATCAAAGTGTATGCAGCAAACCCAGATTCAGTACAATCATCATGTATTACTCTATGTGTATACGTCTAAGTACATGAAAAAAAAAAGTTTCTAACAAGGCAATTTTTGGAAAATGAAATTTTAAATATTTGCAGTTTAAATATTAAATAAGTAGCTAATTTTTTTTAGGATATATGTTACAAATAAAAAAAGAAAGGTACATCAAGGTTCATGCGTCCTTTATATTACGTTGACCTGTCAAGTAAGTCTAAGAGTAGGTTTATTCAAGGTATAGTGGTCATTGAAATAAACCACAAATGAAATATCGATTAGCTCTAGTTTGAATTATTGCCCCACATTGTCGTAACACTCGACGCGGTTGGACTTGAAAACGTGAGCTAAGTAATTGCGCGTAAATAAAATATTAAGCAAGGTTAGATTTGTTAGATTTGTTAGGTTATTTGAAATGTTATTCTTCTTAGTCGATAGTACATTTTTGTATTAGAGGATTTTAGCGGAGTTGATGGCTACAGTAGATTAGGCTCAGACTGGTTAAAACATATATTTACAAAGTAATAGTTTGCGTACGAACAAATGTAAACGTAGATGTAATTATTGATTTTTATATAACTGAATTAGTAAGTAAGCTTCCGGTTAACATAACATGAACCATAAAAAAAACTTTCTACTTTAAACATACATATACTAGAATCATTTTTGCCGATGTTAGCTACTCTATGCCTAGGTACGCTACTACGCTAAACATCTGTATAATAGTACTACGCTAGCAATTTTATGAACCGTGATTCTCGATGAGTTATAACGTAACCTGTGGAGCCCCTATTTGTTCTAAAAAAAAATAAAAAACGCTAAAGAATATAGAATGCACTTGTTTTTCAAAATATTTTAACATTTAATTCCCCCCTGTTCTACAACACACTACAACATCCGTATACTGTCAGACTGCATGGCATCCTAAAGGCACTGGAAGACAACACAATGACCTCTGGTATTGTCTTCGAATGTCATCAAGCCTTAGAGCAGCTTGCCACAACAAATGGGGCGCCCCTCCAATGGATCAAAGGGCATAGTAATTCATACGGGAATGACGCTGCAAATGAGTTGACAAGGAGGGGCTCGGCAACCCCCGCTGTGGGCCCAACCACACTCCTGCCACTGCCTTTTAACCAACTTCGGTCCTGGGTTAGACAGCGAACTCGTGAAGCGCACAACCGAATGTGGAAAAACTAACCCGGCTGCAGACAGTCCAAACTGGTGCTGACTGAAGTCTCACCACGACTTACTTGCAAACTGATCGATCTTAGCAGACTAGATATCCGAATAGTTGCAGGATCCATAACAGGACACCTCTGAACCGACAACTATTCATCATTAATGTGACGGACAGTCCTCTCTGTAGAGGAATCGCCGCCCACGTAATGCTGGAATGCAAGGGAGTGGCCACACAACGGGCAAGTACCATACTTGGTACAAAATCGCTTCTAGAAGCCTGTAAACGCCCCAGGAGGTTTCGCTTCTGGAAGAAGCTTGGTTAGCTCACCTAGCCAACCTCTTCTAGACGTATAAAGAACCACTCTCCAGTCTAAATGCGGCAATCGGAGCCCACAACCAATACCAATCCCCCTTGTTCTGACTGAACTGAGACCTAAAAGAAGTAAAAATCGTTTCACTGAATTGTACAATAAAAATATTACTATGTATTTGTAATCTTGTAGCATTCTTATTCAATAGTATTGCTTGTGTAGTAGATATACGAGTTTATATCTACATAATACCGTTATACTCGTACTTAATTGCTAAGATTAGTTTTGTAAAAAATACTTATAACACCAAAAAAAAAATTGTGCAATAAAAATGTGTTGTGAGTATTATGACACATGAATATAATATTCTATATTAGCTATTGTTTTAGCCAAGAACAAGAGCAATAACAAACATTTAAACTTGATAGTATTAATTTAATTTTTTCTACAGATATTCTAAGGATCAAAAAGTCTGTCTAAAATGGGTAAAGCGCTTAGTAAGGTGGCTTCTGCCGATGGTGTGCAGCAAGGATCAGTTCTTGACCGAGTCATATCGCAGCCGAGCAGTGAGGATCACACAGTTTTGTACAAACTTGCCGATTATAAAAAGGGTATAGTGTAATCTTAGTGTATAAATGATAGATATAGATGTCACTACTATACCAAGCACCAACCACGGTGTAAAAAAAAAACAATCGGAAGAAGAGCAAATTCCATTTAAACGCTCCACCGCAGTGACGGCCACGGCTTCACAGAAATCGATGTTAAGCAGTTCTTTTCACGGACTGAGTTAGTGTTGCGGTTTCCCTTCACTATGCATGAGTCGCGCCGTGGCGCCTCTTTAGGGCACCCGAATATCTCTCCGAGTTACCCGTCTGCATATTTGCTCCCAATACCGTAAAAAAACTCCCCCCCCCCCCTCCCCTGAGAACATTACATAGGTTTCTTTCATATTTCGATTGATTTACATTCTCGTTCTGTAGGTACAGTCATTATTCCTAAAAGACCATTAACTACCAAAGAAGACAGATTATCTTATCTTTTGTTTTGTCTTTTCTTTTAAACTCGATCTAACTATACTAAAAACAACTCGTCCAACTTTAGGTGGTCTCTTACTCGAGACGTACGCCAAAGGTGGAATGGTAGCGGCAGAAAAGTTAATTAAAGAGGAGTTTGCAGCTTATATGTACGCTGGCGGCAGGGGAAGAGTAATTAACAGAGCGGAGTACCTTCGATGGAAGTTCAGGGACCAAGAGCAGGTAGAAATACACAGTTTTTACCTTACTATCTACACCAGAAACTTATATCGTTGAGTATTTGTTCTATGAGTGTAATATTTAGGTGGTGTTGCCAATAGAAGCATCTCTTTCTCCGCACGACCCGCTGGCGAAGTGGGAGGATCATACAGCCTGCTGGCAGATGTGCTATAGGGGTGCATTAGGAGAATCCCTTCTGCATGTACTCATCATTTGCGATACTAAGGTAATTATGTAACATGCGAACTATCTCACTTTGGTACTTTACCTAAATCATTACTAGAAAAGTAAAGAAACAAGAAAATAATGTGCAAATGTTGTGCGGATTTTTAGAATAAAATATCCAACCAGGTGTTTTGAGTTTTTTATCAATTTAAAAAATGCTATAAGGTTTTTTCAGTTTCCAGCTAATATATGTACAAGAAGGTAAAACCTTACTTTTAAGCGTTATGTTTATATTCTAAATGGCTAACGTGTGACTACTGAAACAAAGATAAACGAAAGCAAATAGAACAATATTTATTGATTAAGATTTAAAAAGTTAATAACCTTATCACTATTCTATCTATGCTCTATAAACGAACTCTACCTTCAAATGTAACAGTGGTACTTTTACTAAAAATAATTTTAAAATCTTTTAATAAAAACTATCTGGATATTTGCCACATTTTTTTTATTGTATGCTGTACTTACTTAAGACCGAAATGTTTTAAAACAACTATACTCGTATTTCTTTAGATATAAAAAAGTTTATTATTTCTTGGGCTTTTCATATCTTTTTAATAGACGAGAAAAATAACAAGGCCGAACAGCAAGTAGGTAATATGGACATGAAAAGGTTTTTGTTAAATTTTGGTAGTAGCATATTATGTGTGTAGCAGCTAGGTCTCGAATAAATATAAATGAATAAATTATATACGGTATAAAAGAAATAAAAGTTTAGTAATGTATCCGGACTCTACGTTATTTAGGAATTACCAATTTTCAGATACACACACGGCTAGCCAGGACACTGGTAAAGTGTTTCCCGAAACTGTCATTAGATGTCGTTGAAGGTGAAGAATATTTAGGTAAGTATACCAATACAAGAGTATTGAAAAAGGTGGACACATATGTATTATTGAAACTCCGTGGACACATTAAACGTCTGTCGTCATTTTAATGATTAATAATTTATTGACAGTGCAACGAATCTACTTTGTTTTTAATGACATTAAATAAAGAAGAGGTAAATAGTTGATTTTACTTATCAGTTATCTAAAGTATAAAATGTCGTAAATTTGGAATATTAATTACTTATAAACCAAGCTGTTATTTATATGCTATTTTATATCTATATCTAACTTAGGTATAATTAATAATTATATTCGCAATGTTTTAATATTGCTTAGAGGCAACGTTTAAAATGTTTGCAAGAAGAGGTTTTATTATGCCCCTTTGAGGGTACGAATTGGTTTGAATTATCTGTGATATATCATTATGGCGACTCACACATACAAAGAACAGAAACATACTAGAGCGCCACATACTAGAGCGCCATCTAACGATTAGCATATTTACAACTTTCCAACATCAACCGATGGGCCGCGGCCCGCCATTCATGATCACCTCGCTTGGTCGGAGGATCCTCCCTTTGTGTGGAGGAACATGACAGCCGTTCCTCGACACACATTTATACTAATATTATAAAGCTGAAGAGTTTGTTTGTTTGTTTGCTTGAACGCCCTAATCTCAGGAACTACTGGTCCGATTTGAAAAAATATTTCAGTGTTAGATAGCCCATTTATCGAGGAAGGCTATAGGCTATATATCATCACGCTAAGACTAATAGATGCGGAGCATCAATGAAGAATGTTTCAAAATCGAGGGCTTTTTCCTTTTGAGAGCTTCTGCTGCGTGCGCTGCGTAAACGGAAATAGCTCCTTAACGTACGTATTATTTAAAAATATTTTCAACTTCTACGTAAACGAAGTTGCGGGTTATGAAATCGTTAGCCCAAGGCCCAAAGTAACTATTCCACGTGGACGAAGTCGCGGGCAGAAACTAGTTATAGATAAAGGACACCCAGACATAGAACAAATGACCGTGCTCATCACACAATTTTTTGTTCTGGGTGGGTCTCGAACCCACGACTTCAGTCAGGGTCACTAACCACTAGACCAGGCCAGTTATACATTCTTTGTCGTGTTCTACTTAGATCGTCACTGCTGTGTTTCTAGGGGCCAGTTCCTTACACCTGGCTATTGCATACAGTAACAACGAGCTCGTGCAAGACTTGGTTGACGTAGGCGCCGATGTTATGCAGAGAGCTATCGGTAAGCTCTTTGTTTTTAAGTTATTTTACCAATAAAAATATTTTAAATAACAAATTGTTATAACAAGAATGTTACAAAAATTTTAAAAAAATTAGTTTTCGAACATGGGTAAAAGCCAATAAAAGTGATAATTAGTTAGGTAAAACTAGTTTGAAACAAAAATGTATACTTAAAATTTACAGAACGGCGATTTTAATTTTCATGATTTCTATTCAAGTGTCATATATTGTCAATCTCACAATACGGGGGAACATAATGACACCACGAATGCCAAAACCTATCAAGCCTTTTAGACTACAGCACGGGCTAAAGAAATGTACCTAAATACAACTCCTTCTAGCGCAGTCGGTTAAACAGATACTCTATCTATCTATACCCTGTTACAATTGTAACCTACATTTAGATAAAAAAAAACAATCTGCAAACAGGCAGTTTCTTCCTCCCTCGGGATCAGCAACGTGTGCCACCTGCGAGGCAGACGAACTACGAAGGTCTGGCGTACCTCGGAGAGTATCCTTTAGCGTGGGCAGCCTGCTGCGCCAATGAAGGAGTGTACAACTTGCTTTGTGATTCCGGAGCAGATCCCGATGCACAAGACTCGTTCGGTAATATGATTCTCCATATGGTGGTCGTTTGCGATAAACTGGTAAGTTTACATAACAATTAACAACCTCAACATACCATACTGCCTAAAGTGTAGGGTATAAGGGACGGTGTAACGAATACTGAAGTAGTGTATTCAGACCATCATTTAGAGTTGAAAATCAATGAAATTTTCTGACGGAAAATTAATTTATTTTTATTTAATATTCAATTTTTTGGTTAAAAATGATATCACAATGAGTAAACAAAACATTTAACAGATTTTTTAATAAATACCGCATACGGTCAAGAACTGCAATGTAAGTAAACAGTCGAAGCGCGCGGGGCCTCCTTCCCGACCGTCAACTTGTGTTAGAGTGCGTAGACTGTTTGCACGGAATACAAATGTAGCTATTACCTGTGAGATACCTACGGGGAATGACCTTAACGTTTGAAAACTGATTGCTTTAAAGGTTTAATCTTCCGGCCGGAAATATAACGATTTTCTTCTCAGAATGATGGTCTGAAAACACTATTTCAGTATTCGTTACACCGTCCCTTATACGCTGTATGAGCTCTTACTAATTTAGTCTACTCTTACTGCGGGAAAGATATTAGTGATCGAAGGCTTCTTCTACAGCTATTTTGGCTAAAAACAACACGGGCTCTTGAGAAAAAAATAACAGATGATAGATGGTTCAGTCAACTTTAAAATTAGGGCTTTGAATTTAAGCATTTCTTTCAAGTGTCTGAATTAAAATCTTGAATTCGCTATTATCTGATTTAGGATATGTTCGGCTACGCACTTCGTCATCCAAGAATACCGGCAAGCAATGGACGCATGAACCTGGCTGGTTTCACTCCTTTAACTCTAGCTTGTCAGCTAGGTCGAGCATCGGTATTCAGGGAAATGTTAGAACTCTCCGCTAAAGAGTTCTGGCGTTACTCCAATATTACATGTTCCGCTTACCCTCTTAATGCACTGGATACATTACTACCTGATGGGAGAACCAGTAAGTAGTTGTGCAGATCATTACCATTTTATGTTTTTTATTTTCGATTTCACACTATGAATTTACCGTTTTAAACTGCTTCTGGATAATGATTTTCCTAAAAGATTAAGATCCAAAAGATTACTAAACTTGAACCAAATAATAATATCTTGTCAAATTGTAGACCAATCAGGGAATTTAATTGTACCAGCTATTTAACGAAGATAACTTTAATGTGTCTATATTCAAAACTATATGTTAATTGGAAAATAGTGACTATGGAATGTGTGGCTATGATTATGCCGTAATTCGAACTTCACACCGATAAAGCCAAAACCATGAAAATAGATATTTGGAAGTGCTTTGCTCAGTGTTAATTTTTGTTACTTATGGTTGTCTTCTTTAGATTGGAATTCGGCATTGTTTATTATTTTGAATGGTACAAAACAAGAACATTTAAACATGTTGGATGGTGGTATAATTCAAAGGTTACTAGAAGAGAAATGGAAGACATTTGCGAGGGTACGTAGCTCCCTAACTATTTATTTTATGAATTGATTGACTTATTTTTTACAAGAAAAAGAAATTAAACACTTTTTTATTTTGACTTAAAAACTGTATTAAAATAAATCGTTAATCTCGGGTAGACTATGGAAAGCTGACAAATCTGAGACATTTGGACATCGAAACCAGGTCCTCGTAGATCATGTTATCATAAACTCTAACAAACCAGTCTATACACTCTATACAACTATCTGTTTATAGTGACATACTGTATTTGTAGGTATATTCTCCTACAACTCTCTGATATATTCTAATGCTCTTTGTTATAGAACAAATTCCTGAAACGTCTCCTAATATTGATGCTGCATCTCTTGTTGCTATCTATCTCCGTATACCTGCGCCACAGCAGCGCAGAAGCTGACGCGAACCCTAACTGGGGCTTAGAAGTTTCTGATGCGCGAACCGGTTTGAGGATGGCAAGTGAATTGGGCACTATTGCAAGCACGTTATGTTATATTATTCTGCAGCAGGGTGATGAAATAAAAAATCAAGGTTTAGTGGCATATTTTAAGCAGTTGGTAAGTTATTTCTGCATCTTTGTAAAAACTAACTCATAGAAAACTGGTATTAATGGCATTTTTTTCCATTTCCACATTCTTTTAATGGGAGGGGTGGGGGGGGGGAATTGTTAATTCGGTAACTTCATTTACTCGGTGAAAAGTAACACAATGTAAATTACATAACACTGGTTTTCTGTAATGCCGTGATATTACTCCGGTTGGGCCGGTAATTATAGAATATACTTTTATTGTTATAGATTCACGAACCAGCCAAGTTTATATTCTTAACCTCAAACATACTATTGTTGGCATGCATACCTGCGCGGCTGACGAAACATTCAATGTTGGAAAACGCTCTGCTCATATTTTTGCTACCCGGATCTTGGTTTTTGCTCATGTTTTTTGCGGGGTAAGTTTACGATTACATACACATTTTTGCCCAATTTTTAAAATAACACAATATATCTAGACCAAGGATATTATATATTTTTATTCGTTATGGAATGTAACAGAATGTGGATTTAATGTATATATATAAATGTTCTATTAGTTTGTGTACACTTCAAAAACTCAAAGAGTTCTGCACCGATTGAGCTTAAATGCCACCATATACAACCTGCTTCAAACATGGTTTTTATCTATTTTTCGTAACAGTTTTTTCCTCATTCCTTATCAATGCAAGCACAATCTGCCACAGCAAAGGGGGAAGCGTAGAGCTAGTATAATGTAATAATGTTGTAGCGGCTAAAATACTTAATAACTGCTGATTTTTTTCACACATTTTGTAAACCGAAAATGTCGTACTGCCCGTTTTTTTAAATCGCTTAGTTTGTTAATGAGATAATAGATGTTGCTAACCGCCCATGGAACAGGGCATACCTACCATCTCCATAGATAAGGAGTTGATGTTCTTAATTTTTATTTTAGGGCCGTAAAGTTGACTGGTCCATTCGTTACAATGATCTACAGCATGATCACAGGCGATATGTTCACCTTCGGTATTATTTATTCCATCGTACTGTTCGGATTCTCGCAGTCCTTCTATTTTCTATATAAAGGTAAGTCAGTATTACTTAGAACAAGCTTAAGCTTAGGAGGAGGAGTTTAATTTTAATAGGCCAGTACGTCAGAAGCTAAGAGCCCAGATCTTGAATAATAGTCAAAAAGAAAGAGAATCAAAATTAATGACATAAAGGCACCCTAACATTAATAGGTAGAAACATAAAAATAACCAAGAAAGGAATTTTACAAATTATATCTTGAGCTATATAATCTATATAATCTTTTCACTTTTCGAATGATTTTTATTGATCTATATAAATCATGTGAAAATTACAACAATTAATTTGTTACAGGGTTTCCTAACGTTCAAACCACATTGTTTGGTAGCTATGCGAGTACCTGGATGGCTCTATTTCAGATCACATTAGGAGACTATAGTGTGAGTATTCTTATTTACCTACTAATAGGCAATAACCACATATATATTTGCGCATGTTGTTATTTTATAATAAAAAAATCACATATAGTAAGTATAATCTACTAAGCCGATTAGGATCTGCCTACGATACGTAAACATGAGATTTGTTTTACTTTGCCTGTCTAATACTCGCCATCTCGTTCAAAGCTTGCTTCGTTCTAATTAAAATAAAGTTTAGACGATAATTACTTTATGTCGATAAAACATACTTAGGTAATAAGAGTTAGATAAAGAGTTTGGAAAATACACAAATAAATAATCTTTGCCCAACTTCGTATTGACTGTGTTATGCAGGCAGATCTCGATCGACCCAGTTCAACAATAGACAACTACGAGTAAATAACCACAATATTGATCGTATGAGGTCATTGAAACTTTGACGCAAACAACTGTTTATTTTATTTACCCCAAAACATTGATGTTTTAACTCAATGCCCCAAAATTATTAAAATTGGTCTTGTACGAATTGAACTCAAGCTGTGGAAGAGTGAGAATAAAATATGAAAAATGTTAAATTTAAAAAGTCATTAGTTAAATAAAGAGGTATGTAAGTTTAGTGATAGGAAAATCATTTTATAGGGTACATCAAAACGCCCGTTACTTAGACTTTGGGTAAGTGACTATCACTAAAGGGCTTTAGATGGAATTAGAACATTTTAATAATGTTGATAATGTACCTACTCTACTCTATGCATGAATATGTATGTAAACCTATGTTTCTCATTTCTTCTCTCTCCAAGAAGAAATGAGAATTTCCTCTTGGCTTGCGTCTGTCTGTGTTTATATTATTTCTATTATGTTAAGTGTTTGAAAGGTGTTGGTTTTTACTTTGGACACATAAGTTTTGATGTGTGTCTCTTGAAGTGGGATTGGTTTCTTTTTGTGTGAAAATGTATCATGTGTTTTCCGCTCTAAAATAAAAAGTTAACAAACTGAGCATATACATGACAGGTACACCGGTCCACGGTGTACCTCTCATTTTGAAAACAGTAGATTATGCGAATGAAAATAACTTAAAATTTTATTCTTTTTACGAATTTATTTCAGTACACCGACCTAGGCATGACGACGTATCCGAACTTGTCGAAAACGGTGTTCGCAATATTTATGGTATTTGTGCCGATCTTGCTTCTAAACATGTTAATTGCCATGATGGGCAACACATACGCACATGTTATAGAACAATCTGAAAAGGAGTGGGTTAAACAGGTAAGCTGAACAGTATTAGGAATTAGTTATAGGGGTTATTTTCACAGGAATAAAATTAAAACCCTACTGATTAAAGGTCCCAATACCCAACCAGCACCACCTTATCACTCGTCCACGGTTAAATAAAATTTATACAGTTCCTAACTTTTTATTTGTTGTTAACTTATTTATCCCAGATCATTCACTGTTTAATTTATCATTATTTATTTTATGCATAAGGAATAAATATATTTTATCATACTTTTTTTAAATTAAACTGTATATTTTATTATATAAATTATAACGACTGTATAGCAAACATCTACCAAAAAAAAGCGAAAGGAACTCCAGGGGTCCATAGATCCCTCCTCCTTTTCTAATATTATTTTGACTTAATCGAAGAAGTCGACTCTCCATAAAAATTATAATCTTTCTTATTTATTTGGATGTTATTAGTACATGTAATTATGTACGGGATCATAAGGGAACGGGATTTAACGCGATCACGCAATAGGTATTAAGTACGTATATATTTTTGAATTGCTTAAAGTTTCGATGGACGCACTGGCTGACTCTCAGTCTGTGAACACGAACTGGCTGACAGTCAGCCTGTGACCTGGGATGGGATGCTAGGGTAAGCGGTATGACACACTTTTTACTATATTACGTGGTCACAATAATGCCCGCACGTATTCATAATTATTTATCACCCTCCATAATATCTATTAAAGATTTTTTATTCAATATATTATCCCACCAGCTGACCCGCGCAACTTCGTCTGCGTCTCTCAATAGTAATAAATTTTCTCCGTTTTTGAAACATTCTTCATTGGTGCTCCGCTCCTATTGGTCTTAGCGTGATGATATATAGCCTATAGCCTTCCTCGATAAATGGGCTATCTAACACTGAAAGAATTTTTCAAATCGGACCAGTAGTTCCTGAGATTAGCGCGTTCAAACAAACAAACAAACAAACTCTTCAGCTTTATAATATTAGTATAGATTTTCAATTAGAGTTTTTAATGTGGTGACAACAATCTTTACCTTAACTAAAATATCTTTCAGTGGGCAAAAATAGTAGTGTCCCTAGAAAGATCAGTTGCCCAAGAGGATGCTCATAAATACCTTCAAGAGTACTCTATAGGTCTTGGACCGTCTGACGACCCTCGATATGAAGTGCGAGCCGTGATGGTTATCAAGAGTAAATCTAAAACAAGAGCCAAGCAGAGGAAAGGGGCGTTAGCCAATTGGAAGGTCAGATATTTTATTTTATGATGGGATATTAAAGAGAACGACTCTACTGATGAACTCTGCTAATAGTCGCATTGGTTAGAGCTATATAAGTATAAGAATAAAGAAAAAATGTTTTTAAGTTTAAAGAATAAATCCAATATTTAGGCCAATTTAAAGAGAAGAGAAGAGTTCTTATTATCTGACTAGCTGGTGCCCGCGACTCCGTTCGCGTGGCATTTGAAAAGCGCTGCCTTAGTGAGTTCGAGTCCGGACCAGGCAAAATTGTATAGGGTTTTTCTGAGAGAAATCGGTGCAGCCGTTTTGAATATTACCCGGAACAAATAGACAGACAGACAGACAGTCAAAAAATATTTGAACTGGTATTTAGGCATAGCTATCGTGCAAATAACCGTGTTAGCATTAAAAAAACCTATTATTTAGACATTACAAACAGACACTTCAACTTTATTTATTTGTTTAGATTACTTAATCGATAATATATATAATATAAAAATTACTTGCCCTGACTGGTTATTATTAACGCAGATCCTAAACCGCACCAACTTGAAATTTTGGTAGCTGATGCTTTTTATGTTGTAAGCGGTGGATGCTTACAATAAGACAGGATTTTTGGCAATTTCTCCTCCAAGAGGTTAAAATAAGGGATCAACGATTGCACGGAAGGTCGTCATGAAAGTTGTTAAAGTTAGAAAGCCGCGGTCAGTTGCTAGTTTCATATGTATAATTTTCTAAAAATATTGTAGCGAGTAGGAAAAGTGACAATAGCGGAACTTCGTCGTCGAGGCATGAGCGGCGAGGAGCTGAGACGGTTGATGTGGGGCCGCGTGTCCATCTCTACACCCACAAAGCAGCCGTGAGTTATTATTTAATAACCGATTTTTGTATGTACCATACCAGCTGAAGAGAGGCCTATGTCCAGCAGTGGGCTGGTATATACAGATATATACCCTAAACACATACATCACTACACTTAGACTTAGAATAATAATTTAATTCTGACTTCTCATAGTTTCTATCCTCTATAATAATTACCAACTAATCTATGGGACAGATTATTGCTTAAGGTATTTCTTAATCGATATCTACAAACCTTGGAGAAGAGAGCGTACCTCAAGGACCGGTAACGCGTGACTTTGATGTGACTCTGCAGCTGCCCATGGTCGGCGGTAGTCACTTACCACCTGAAGCGTCTGCTCGTTTAGCCTCATGTCTTAAAAAAAACAGTGGCACTCCGACAGAATTGAAAACTTGAAAATTTAAATATTTTTGAATATAACAGTGAAAAAAAAATTGTTTCGATTCGAAAAGTTCCGACATGAATATATTTCTATGTTGTACGTACATATATACACAATATATGTTTATATTATCAATGTATTTCAACCTAAACTCAAATCTCGTGTAAACGGGGCCAATGTATGTAGACACTTATATACAGAGGTGTCGGTAAGGGTAACAGTGTCGCGAGTTCAATGTTCTTTTCCCATTTCAAAAATAAATTCTTTTATTTGTTGTTAAAAAATGCCTAACACGCCTTAAGACGTTTTCACTTCATAAAGTTGATTGCGTCAATGCAACAGCATAAAATAATGACAGTAGTAAATCTACTTTGCTAAAGGGCTTTCTTCCACAAAACGTAATAACGTTTTTAGTAAAAGACGTCGATTCAGATCTTTTTGCATAATAATATTAGTTTATGTTTACGTACCTTTTTTTTTTTTTTTTTCGTGCGGAAATCCCCTCGGATACCACCTATCGGTGGAATGTCGGACTCGAACCGACTAAAACCGCACGCCGTCTCGGGTACTAATAGCCGGGGAACCAGGTATACCCTAGAAAGGAAGTCCCTGGTGCCCCGACATACCTCGGACCATCTACAACAACAGGTAGACGACCCCCCCCCCCGTGTGGGAACCCCATGTTCCCTCTGCTCCCTGGAAGCGAGCGCGCTTCACAACGCGCTCGCCGCCACTCCGGCCTGCTTCTGCTAGGGTGACAGATGGCCTCACCTGTCACCCCCAGGCCTGCGCTTATGGAGGACGGAGGTCGTTCTGAGACCTCCGGCGCATGAGTCGCCTACGGTACCTGGCCCGTTCCCGGGCCTGGCGTGCCGGTAGAGTTCTAAACCTCTCCCGGTCCCGCTCCGCCATCTCCTTCGCGAGCATATCTTGCTCGCAGAAGGAGACGGCAGAGTTCCACGCACTCTCGCTCCGCACGATAGCCGCAATCAGGCTATCGAGCGAGAGAACTCCCACTCCGATGGCCACCACGAGGTCTCGCCTCTGCTCAACCCACGCCGGGCACTCTGCCAGCGTGTGGAGAGCCGTGTCCACGGTCTGGCCATCGCAGTGGTGGCACTCAGGCGTTGGCTCCTTGCGGATCAGACACAGGTGATCCCCGAAACATCCTTTCCCAGTGATCACCTGCGTCAGTCGGTATGAGAGGGTCCCGTGACGCCTCCCGAGCCAATCCTCCATAACGGGTCTTACCGCCGCGATGACGGCGTGCCCAGCGCTCGGTTGCCCGAGTCGTTCCCTCCACTCCCCTATGATGACCTGGCGGAGTTGGGATTTCCGGTCATCGATTTCTCGAATCTCGGGACACCGACCCAACTCCCGCGCCTCCTTGCGTCACTGATACAGAGCCGCAAGAGCTCTCGCCTCCAGGTCCCACAGTGGAGTTCCGGCCAGGAGACTCGCCTTCAGGACCCCGCCCATACTGGGCACCCGTAAAGGGCCATGGACCGCACAACCCCCGAGTAGAGTCTCCTGCAGGAGTCATCGGGTCCCTTCACGTTGGGCAGCAGCCGCGCCAACGCACGCGCTGCCCCCACCAACTTGGGGACCAGACCTCGGAAATGATATCCGAAGTCCCATCGGCCATCGAGTACGAGCCCCAGATACCTGATCGAGGGCTCGATGCCGATGCGAGTGCCTCCTACCGTGAGGCTAGATCCCTCAGGCGGCTTCCTCTGAAGCCCGTGGAAGAACAGGGCCTCGGACTTGTGCAGAGCCACCTCGAGACCAAGCCGCCGCATTCGCTCAACGACTTGGGCAACCCCGGCCGTGGCCCTCAGGGTTGCCTCGTTGTGCGTCTTGCCGCGCGCCGCCACGAGTGTGTCGTCCGCGTAGCACACGACGGCGACACCATCCAAGAAGGCACCACGAAGCACCCAGTCGTAGCCGATGTTCCACAAGAGTGGCCCTAACACCGACCCCTGTGGAACCCCGCACGACATTTCACGCCTACCGAGACCGGTCCTACTGGGGTAGACGACGGCTCTCCGACAAATATGCCCCGACTATGCGGCGGAGGTAGAGAGGCACTTCGTGATACACGAGCGCCTCCCTGATGCAGCTCCAGGGCAGAGTGTTGAACGCGTTGGCGATGTCCAAGGACACCGCCAACACCACTTCGCCCCGGGAAACTGCTTCCTCCGCCAGAGCCTTCACGCACATGATCGCATCCACGGTGGATCGCCCCTGACGGAAACCGTACTGGTTGTCCGCCAGATCCGGCCCCACCATCACGAGATGCTTGACGAGGCGCCTTGCAATCACTCTTTCAAAGAGCTTGCACACCTCGTCAAACAACACTATGGGCCGGTAGGCGGACGGTGAGTCCGCCGGGCGCCCCAATATGTTTACGTACCTAACAAGAGTTTCAGAGAAAACAAATAAGTAGTTACTACCTGTAGTCCAATGAAATTATATTTATTTCTGCAAGTAAATCTTTTCAGATATTTTTACAAGTCGGTATTTACAGCTAGAAGGCGCCGGCATTTCCTAAGACTCGCTTGGGAAGAAACGCCGAAACCAACCACATAGGTGTCTTTCCAAGTCCAGGTAGAATGTTAAAGAGAACTATGTGAGTGCAGTATAGGGTCTGGGTTGGCCTTTTGAAGAAAAGACCTTAGTATTGAGTCGGCCCGTCCATACAGACGGCATACGAGTCCCAGCTACTGTGTAGCCGACCGATATAATCAGGATCGACGGCCCGGGACACGACACTACCTTCTGCAGGACACTTGAGGAGGCCGTGGAAACACTCAAAACCACCAGAAACTTACTAAAATATGATCTAACATTACAACCCTACACTATACTCACATTTACATACTTGCACAAAAAAAAGTGTTAATATCACCAACACAACTATTATTGCTCTGATAAATGATCAAACTCACTAAATAATAATAACTGCGATACGTTATGGACTGTGAGCCAGATCTTTCTGTCATGCCACCCACCACTGCCTCTTTAAAATGATAACAACATATTGACGCGTGCCCATAAACAGAATGACTTCCATTTAGTAAATAAAATATTACTTTGCACACGGACGCTATTTACACTGCTGTTAATTTCAACAGTTAACGTCGTTTTACCAAATACTACTTATAGTCTATCAACGTCGTGCGCGACCGTCCTCTGGGGTGACAGACGGTGGCGGGGACGAGGTACTCAAGATGTCAGCGGGTAGAGGGTGGTGTAGCGGGGAAGGGAAACGCTTCTCTTCGTGTGTAGCCGTGTGCTAGAATGACGCGCTATCTCGCCCCCGCCACTGTCTGTCACCCCGTGGGACGGTCGCGCACGAGATTGCCGGGTTATAGTCCCGTAGATGTACCAGAACTTTTCGGTTACCAGGCGACGCGGAGCTGTAGCACCGCCCCCTGACTGTCTAGCTTCAGCGGAGGCGGGCCGCATGACCCTTCCTGGGGTTCAAGGGCCGCTGTCGGGAGCAGTGGGAGAAGGCGTCGGCCCCGCGCTGTCTTCTGCACTCAATGTCATGGCATTTACCCATGAATTGGACCTGACAACTAGCTCCACTGGTTTGTTTGGCTTTAAATATTTGTTTAAATATATTGTTAAAGGTACAAAAGCCGTTGACGTAAGTATATTTTTTTTAGGCATTTATGATTCCGATTTTTTTCTGTAAAAGCTGTAATGCTTATTAAGACTAAACAATTTAACAATTTTTTTTTTTTTGTTTTTAACAATTTATTTTATGTATGTATTTAAAAATATATAAGTATGTTTATCAGCAGTACAGGCTCTGCCTAGTTTAGGATCAGACTGCCGTGTGTGAGATGTGTGAAGTTATTAAAAAAATTTAAAAATCTTAATTACAGTAGAAGACTTAGTTTTATTCTCTACCAGTCGACTCTTAAGTGGTCCATAGAAAAATTGAAGTGTATCGGATAATGAGTAAAATAATATATGTACCTATAAAAAAACACTTAAATAATGTATGTGTACGGCCGCTAATAACAAATAAGAAATTCATAATGATATGTCTAACAACCGTGACGATCCCGCTAGGCCATTTATGAGAGACGTTCTAACCCTTATTTATATAAGAAGCAATTTCATTTGGGTTTTAATAGCCAGTGCGTTGTACTTCATACACATCAGATAAATTCTCTCGTGAAATCGAGAATCTATCTTATGCACTAGGGTCTAGTTTATTACGTTTATACATACCTTGTGAGCATCTACAACGTCTTGCCAAGTATCAATCATGCACTCTTAGTAATTAATGAGCTATGGTATAATTTACCATGACTGCACCACTGTTTCATATGCAGTCTTATTGCACGAGATTCCAATAATTAGTGCAATAATTCAACTATTTACATATAAAATTTCATTTCTATACACTCAATAATTAACGAAATACAATTAAAATACTGACAACCACCGCAATTGGTACATAACCCGACCGAGTTCGCATGGCTAAAAAACGGACGTACAAAACGGATAGGTTTAAATTGTTTTAAGTTTTTTATCATTAAGCGGTCAATAACTTCAAGTAATAATGACTTTCATAGATTTGACTACTAAGCATAGATTTATAGGTAAAATATAGGGTATCTGAAAATGTGAGAATCTGGAAAAAAAATCGTCTAATCAGAAAACGCATTATAGAATTAGTCTTCCTTAACAGCAATAGTGGCCTGTTTCATTAAGAAAAATGAATGCAAAAAATGAACTTTATGACGGGCGATGACAATATCATGCAATATATTAATGTAAAAACAAAAAAGACGTAGGTAATTGTTATTTGTAGCTTCCTCGATAAATGTAACTGTCGTGCTTTTTCACTACCGATATAACCGCGACAAAAAAACTAACGTTATTGTGAAAATCTTAAAAACTACATTTCCCATGCCTATAAAAAATAGTAGGTAAGTGCATAGGTAATATATTAATATAATTTTACCTTATCTTCTATTAGCTTCTTACTATTGGTTCACTATACTATTCCGTTTTGGCGCCTAGTCAAATAATTCCATTAATACCATGTTGACCGTGTTCTAATTTTTTTAATGGTTGTAGTTATAGTATTGTTGGCTATTGCATTAGATGAATAAAAATCATAAAACACAGAAGAGGAAAAACAAAAATCTGGAGTGATGATTTGTGACAAAAACATGCACGCGACGACAACCGCAAAATCTGATCGGATACGACGACAGGCGAACGGAGCCAATCGCGCGTCATAGATAAGAACAAAAATTATTATTATTATTTTTTATTTTATTTTAGTCGTTATTATTATTTTATGCGTCCCGTGTGTGAGATGTGTAAGATATATATATATAGCATAGCATACTTTCGGTTACGATCACGTGTCGCGGAAGATGTCCGCGGTTTAGCTGCTGTGCACGGCTAGTTTAAAGATTGTAAAATCCGTTCCGATCTGATGCGAACCGTTTGGTGGAAATCTAGGAAATATTGAATTTTATTTAAAACTTTCAAAACTCATCATCTTTTATTTTTGTAGGCCGATAAGTACATAATTAATAGTATATTTTTTTATTTATTAATTAAATTAATTGTATAATGGCGGACTTAATGCCTTTAATTGTATAATGGTGGGGAGTAGGTGCAATAGAAATCATTTTTGTTTTTGTTTTAAAAAGATAATAATAATTAAGGAGATAGATAGAAATGTGGGACAGATTTACATACATAAATACTGAAATACGCATACATATATACATTATTTTCGATAGCTGTGGTTCTGGTAGAAATAAGTAACGAGACTTATGAACTTGGTAACTGTTGTATTGTATAAAGTAACTTACAATTTATATTAAAGTAAAATTTTTTTTTTTTGCATTGCGCACACGACGCGTGCCGATAAGCAATAGGACCGATCAAGATGGAAATTGTACGAAGCGCGTTTCGAGAATAATGAAGAGAAACCGCAACATACATGTACATATGTATGTTGCGGTTTCCCTTCATACTTTTCTATGTAACAATTATAATCATTCCAATACTCAATAAAGCAGTTGTGCCCTATGGCGTACGTATATTATATCACAACTCGTAATAGAATCTCGTGCAATAAGCCTGCATATGAAACAGTGGTCCAGTCATGGTAAATTATCCCATAACTCATTAATTACTAAGAGTACATCAATGATATTTAAAAAGACGTTGTAGATGCTTACAGGGTATGTATAAACATTATTAACTAGTGCATAAGCATTAGGTAAGTACTAGGACCCAAAACCCTTACTTTACGTTTATATTTATATCATCTGAACGGTATGATGTTTCTTTAAATCCGTTTTTATGAACAGTATAAACAAATTCAAAACAACCTATGAAAAAATTTACAGCTCTCTAGAAAAGCGTTTTACATGAAATCTAACAAATGGCCAAACGTTGTCGCAACTGAAACTTGAATATCTTCGCAGTTTATTGACACACAAATTTCATTTAGACACACAATATTAATTACCTCACGTCATACACTAATTTTTGATAACATTTTTTTATTGTTCTACGTCCATAGGATAAAAAAAGTTCTGCTTGGACAACGTTGTCCCAGCGGAAACAGTTTTTCGTAAATAACTCCCGAATGATTAGATATAGACATATTTTTACTCACGATACACGAGTTGCGATTACACGGCGTCATACCTTCGATCAATAATAGTACTATCAATAATAATAGTTGCTATTGTTGATCGAAGCGTCATACACTAAATATCTGTTAAACTCAAATAATGAAATTTGAACTTTTCCGCTTTGGCAACGTACACCCTTATACCTATAGGTTCGTGGTATTTTTTTATTTAGTCTTGCAACTTTGTCTTCAAAGATATAATATTATTTTATGAATTAGGACATGATTGTTTGAGTACCTGACTGACCGAATGTAAGTTCTCGGTAGGATTACATCTGCAAAGGTACCGGTAGGTAAGGTATTAAAGGCACCGCGGCTTTAACATAGGAGTTTTGAACTTCAATAAAACTGACTAAAATTTAAAAAACAATGTATTTTATTCTAGGACCTATACAACCAACTCCAGATCTACTAGTTAATGGAAAATCAGTACCTTCTGTTGCAACTTCAACAATTTCGATTCATTCTCCAACTACGTCTCCAAATCAACTAAACGTCCCAATAACACTACCCAATAACGTTAACCAATATCTTTCCAAGACAAATGTGGATGCTAAAGTTGGAACTGGGGCTGCGGGAATGCAAGCAAGTTCAGGTTTACCAAACATTGGGCTAAAAATACCAATAACTGGCGGGCTAACTACGACAGGTGTTAGTAAAATACAACCGTTTCCGAATATACCATCGGGCACTAGTCCTAGTGTACCCATAGCTGTTGGAGCTGCATTGCCAACGGCTGCTGGTCCAGGGTTACCAACGAGTGCAAGCCCCGTGAACCCGCATCAGGGACAACCTGCACAAGGCCAGATATTGATACAGGATACATCGCAGATAATAGAAATTCAGATACAAAAGCCTGGTAAGCCAAATTGATTGCACGACAGATATGTTATAGGAAAGTAGCTATCATATGCTTAATAAAGAATATTGTATGACCAACCATTCCTATCGCAGTCCACTGCTGGACATAGGCCTCTCCCATTGCACGCCACTTATATCGATTTTGGGCTTCTATTTATTTGAACCTATCCTCCAACCTATGAACCATTCCTATACTACTCACACCCGGCACTACTATACTTCTATATTATAGACTAAAGGCAATAACTATTATAGTTGTAGTGGCGTTCTATACATAGAAATCATTAACCTTAGCGATATTGGTAAGAGCTACCCACGAATCAAATTTCTCCGTGGAGCTACCAATAAAAAAATATTAATTCACATCACGCTTCTATCATTTACGCACACGCCATCTGTGATGTAAATATTCGTCCTTGAGTTAGAGTATGAAAAATATAAAAAATATCTTACAGTTTGAAAAATGACTTCAACCTAATATTTTTAACAGTTATTCCTCCGGACGAAGTGTATCGAGATTTTTTGTTTGAGCTCATCAAACTAGAATGTTCACGGGAGTATGACAGCGCACAGCTGAAGGCTTTGGCTGAAGGAGCTGCCGATTTGACACATGTGCCCGAGATCGACATCAGTATTTGTGTAGGTACACTCATGTATGATTTCTTTCACTTAATTGCAATAAATATCACATTATTTTAAAAGCTATTAGATCTAGAAAAGTTTTATATTTACATTAATTTACATTTTATTGACCTCAAAATTCTAATTTTATTTAGTTAATAATTTTACGCTACCTGTACCCTATACCCAATAAAATATTTCTTTAAGTAGGTGGTATAACAATTATTTAGAACTACTCTAAACCTACTTATTGAGTATTGATAATGTAATGTAGGTAGTTGAGTTTTAAGGCAAGACAAAGCTAAATCATAATAAAGTGCTTGATTGACTTTGATGTTTGGATTGAAAAGAATGCCTGACACGAAAGATTTATACTGAGCTACACTAAACTATGCAGCATTAGGGCATCGTAAAGGTTAATACTAAGTAAACTGCTGTTATCTCTAGGTAGTCTGTAATTTACAATTAATTGTAGGGACTTGGAAGCGTTATTTTAATTTCTTAACCTTTCTTAACTGTAGACAGCAGCAAAATCATCGCGTCGTGTAGTAGCAGGTGCCGTAACCGGTTTGTTTGGAGTCGCAGCGACTGCTCAACCAGCGGCCGAAGCTGCTTGGCGACGAGATCGTAATGAGAACAGTGACAGCGATCCTATATCCGGTTTGTTTATAATGTTGACAGTACCTAAAGTAAAGATGATGTTCATGTAGGTATAACTTTAATTGTATTTATTTAATTATATTGTCATAGAGTCAGTTCTTCTTGGTCGTGCGTCTCGTGCTAGGAGGGCCCGCTCCGCGTCACGTAGAGCCGCACCCCCTCCTCCGCATTTATACGTACCAGCCAGGTAATACCTACCTTACTTGTACCGAAAATGTTACACTAACGACAACTTATAACTTGTTTCAATGTTTAAGAAATAGAATATCCTTTTATGCTTCCGCCGTTATAATAACTCTATAACTCGCATTAACTTATGTCTGAACGTACTTTTTTACATAAATATAAAACGAGTAATGAACTTGCCGAGCTATTCTTATTGTAGGTCCATGTATTTGGTAGCATCTGAAAGCAGTGCTGTGGAAAGTGATGCACCTTGGGACGAGCACCCTAGTTCGGGAAACAGTTCGTAAGTTATGGATGTTATTATAAAAATAATATGTACCTATAACAATAAACAATTTAATTTATATAAAATATTAATTACTTAAGTAATTATGTATATTAACACCTATTAGCACCTATTTAGTTTTAAAACTGTGTTATTTATTTATTTATATACTTCAGTCAAATCAGTTTCATCAGTCAAACTGTTTTTTAAACCTCCAATAAGTACTTTGTTGATCAACAATTCCGCATGACATCTTTGCTCTGGGTTCATCCTTCTCAGCTTACAAACTACATTGGAGCTAATAGCTTCAAACTCCTTTTCAAGAACATTGTCATCAACGTAGTAATCTTCTACTGCTGATTTCATTCGCTTCTTCTTATTTTTTTTGTTATTAGCTTGCGTTTTTTCACCAGCTTCATCGTCATTAAATGTTTGTTGTACGTTACTAGTTTGCAATTTTATTGCATCATTTTCTGCCTCTTCATTAGTAACAGCCTAGTAAAAATATTTACATAAATTATATTATATTAAAAACGAGTTAGTTACTTACCTACACAAGTTATCTGTACTACCAATCAAAATACTTACATCAAAATATGAACTATTCAACTTAATTTCTACTATGCTATTTTGGTCTTTATTGCTTTCAATTTCTTCGTCGTCGACTTTTCCACCTAAAAATCTCAACGCATAAAATTTCCAATTTCTTGGATTATACTCGTAAATTTGTTCACCATTCTGTCCAATAGTTTTTGATTTTAAATGTTTACGCAAGTCTTTTCTGTAGCTCGATCTCAATATATTTATTTTTTGACGAACTGTCAGTCGCGTTGCTGATTTATCCCATTTTTTCATTATCTCTAATAAAGCATCGTTGGCTACAGCTCTTCTGTATTTATTTGTATAATCCGGATGATTAACATCCCATAATATTGGTAAACGTTCGTAAGTTTTCACAAATTCTACCTCATAAGATTGTGCTTCACTGGTAAGGCACGCGTTAGTATCTGAACTAGAAGTATCCTCCTCTTCTTCCTGCATAACTTCTCCAAACTATGTACTTAAAGGAACAAGATTGATATCTAAAACTGACAGTTTTGCTTGCAATAATATGATGTAAATCATCAAGCTCAGCATCATATACTTTGCTTTGCTTGATGTTAGATTGACACGTAATGACAAACCGCTGTCATTTCAATGGGGTTGCAAGTCACATAAAAAAATATATATTCTGAATATAATTCCTTCGAGTTATAATGAGACTAAATAAATAGACAGACTAGCACTATTTGTGTTTAAAAATTTTAATTTTTCTGTCTTCATTCAAAAAGTTATAGGTACCTTTTTATTGTACCTACTAATTTCGTTTTTCAGGGCTATGGGGAGGATAGATGACGTAGCGCGCATAAGAGCAGCAAGACCTTTATGTATTTTACACGCTACTGTACCGCCAGGGGCAAATCAAGTGGAGCACTCTATGTTAGTAGTAGGTACGTCGTGAAAAAGGTAGAAAATTATTGAAGATTTTAGTTTACATCAGTTTTGATTTATACAAACTTCGTAACGCCTTAATTCTAAAATAGTTAGTTTTTGTATAAGTACCACATGTATGGGTACAACTTCTTCCAAAAAAATTTAGTGAATAAGTGTTATGGGACAATATTGATTTTAATTGATTAAAGAAAAATGCGGGTTTCTTCTCACTCACCTCATGTAGTGACAATGAGGACAAGGATGGTAAATATCTACCCAAGAGAAATGTATTCACTCTAGTCCTGAAGCGTTCCTGGATTTATTTGGACCTGGATTTATTTACATGTAGTCCTGGACCAGGACTACATGTAAATTTCATAAAATATGGATGATGTCTGAGCAATTAGTGTGTTGTTATATCAGACATCGTGGACCGCGTTACCAAACAAGCTAGTTACATCAGCAGAAATCGAATGGTTTAAAATTATTAAACATTTTTCAACAGGATCCGGAAATGGTGTTGATGTGGAAAGCGCTGCTCCTACTTCCACGCAGTCACAAACGAAACACATGAAAAGCAGACGTCCCAAAACAGGGCGAATGCGACGAAATCGGTATGTGTTGTCAGTTTCATCTTACTTGGGGTAATATCATAATCGTAGGTGGTGCTCAGGCATAAGTCATGACAAGCACCGAAAAACCTACCACTTCTTTAAAGAAAAAAAATGCTATGTGGTTTGACGTTTCATACTTTTCAAGACGAAACAATTTTGTATAGAGTAGGGGTAGCAGTTGTATAGTATGCTTGATACTAAATACGGATTTACTCGAGCGTCATGGGGATCTACCTAATTGGCATTTGAAAAATTAGGTAATAGAATGAATAAAAGTCATAAAATGTTTGTTATTTGATGCCGAAAATGCTCCCATTGAAGGTCTGACGGTTTTAAAATGACAAGTTCGTAGCGAATTATCGAAAATGCAAACTCCAAGTTCGAAAAATTGCTATTTCCCAATACCCGAGCGTGTTAGATTTTATACAGCCGATTCAGCTTAATGTTCCTGTCATGCTAGCCAAAAATCTGGCGATTGGAAATATTTTTTACAAAATGTTACAAACTACCACTAGTAGGCTAAACCTCCTTTCTAAGGAGAGGCCTATGTCTAGCAGTGGACTGGTAAATGCTGTTGATGATGATGATGTGACAAACTACCTGTGTGAAAGGCACGAAAAATTATGAACGTATTAAACATTAAGAGGTTTCTTGCAGTTTGCTTCAAAATAAAAAACTTAATGTCAAGGTCATGTGTTTTTTGGAACTTTGTGACACTGAGAGGGGTCACGCTCAAATCGTTAGATTTTTTTTAATACACACTAATGTGTATGTAGTTAACCCAACTTACCTTAGTTTTACACCTTCGAGTATTTCTGACCATCGGTTTTTTTTGTAACTAATCTGGTGGGCTGCCCTAGACTCGGCCCTACGGTAAGGGCTCATGTATGGTATAGGTAATCAACTGGGTGTAACTCACGTAACTCAAACAATTGTAATAACCTTTTCCGTAAAATCAAGGAATTGTGAAGCAACTTTAACTTTATCACAAGATGTATAAGGACTGTACGTTATGATAATTGGAAGATAAAGGGGATAGAAAAAAAATACTGTTTTCAATAGAAGGAGATAACTTAACAAATGCTATATACCAATGGTGCGCCGATATATACCTTACGGCGAATGGTGCAATAGGTCGACTGGAATGATGTTGCAACAACTGTTTCTTCGTTGATCAATTGATTTTATATTGTGAATTAGTTGTGTTCGTTTGGATTGAGGAGCCACTTTTCATATCTTGATGAAATTAATATTATTATTTAGTAGTAAATTAATAGTAATAAATTTTGTAGTATAATACTTTTAAAGTTATAGGAACATACGAGGGGCGATCAATAAGTAATGATAATCGAGTATTTCTAGAACGCACAAAAACCCAAATTATTATTTTTCTGCTTGCTTATATATCCACTACTTCAGCTTTAAAAAAAATGTATAAATAGGACACCATTACCGGGAGATACATTCATTTGAATACGAACTGTCGAAGAGAAAACATCAAAATGGAGAAAAATGAAATAAGAGCTGTCATCAAGTACCTCTGCCTGAAAAAAATGTCTACCAAAGACATACACAGCGACTTAGAGGAAACATTGGGGGAGTCTGCTCCTCCATATTCCACAGTCGCACGCTGGGCAAAGGAATTTAAGCTGGGCAGAACCTCCACTGAAGATGAACATCGCGAGGGACGCCCTTCCACGTCCCTTACTGGAGAAAACGTCAAAAAAGTGGAAGATATCGTGTTGGCCGATCGAAGGGTGACCGTAAGGCATGTAGCTGAGGTCACAGGGATCTCCTATGGCAGCGTTCAAAAAATCATTGTCAGCAAAATGCATATGAAAAATTTCTCTGCGCGTTGGGTACCGAGAATGTTAACCGACGAGCAAAAAAAGAAACGAGTCGACATTTCGAGGGTGAATCTTCAAAAGTTCCAGGCCGATAAAGAATTTTTTTTGTCGCGTTTTGTGACCATGGACGAGACCTGGATCCACTACTTTGATCCCGAAACCAAACAACAATCAATGACTTGGAAACGAGCTTCCTCACCAACGCCGAAGAAATTCAAAGTGTCAAGTTCAGCGGGAAAGGTTATGACGTCTGTTTTCTGGGATGCAGAAGGAATTATTATGGTGGAATATTTGGAAAAGGGGGCCACTATAACAGGCTCTTACTACGCAGGCCAAATAAGAAGATTGCGAGAAGCTATTAAGTCAAAAAGACGCGGTAAACTGCGCGCTGGAGTGCTGTTTCACCAAGACAACGCCCCGGCTCACAAAGCCGCAGTTGCGATGGCTGCCATTGAAGAAACGGGGTTCGAACTGCTCGAACACCCTCCCTATTCGCCAGATCTAGCTCCCAGTGACTTCTACCTCTTTCCTCGGCTCAAAGAACACCTCCGGGGCAACAAATTTGAGGACAATAGTGAAGTGATGGCCGCAGTAGAGGCATTTTGGGAGGGTCAAGACAAAGAATTTTTTTCTAAGGGAATCATGGGCTTAGAAAAAAGATACACTAAATGTATTAACTTGCAAGGAGACTATGTTGAAAAATAAAATACTTTTTTTTAATCTAATAGTTCTGTTTCATATTGATTATCATTACTTATTGATCACCCCTCGTAAGTGAGCCACCTTTATTTTCCTATAAGTATCAATCTAAATGTTTGGATTGAGGAGCCACGTCAGAACTAGGAACATAATGGATGTATATATTTCATAATTTAATATGATTTTGTAGTATTTGAGAGTAGTTAAAGACAAAATCTGAGCACGGTAATCATAAAATTAAAAAAAGTTACCATACATTATATAGTGGCTCCTCAGATCATACAAACGACTATCACATTTTTCAGAGAAGCAGGCAGTACTGTGTCTAATAAGTTATTAGCTATTCTTTAATTTGCTAACAATTTTTTTTTGTAGGGTGTCCATGAATAACTTATATTATTATAAAAGTTATTTTCTTCATGCCATTTCGTACACAAATCTATTTTATTTTATCTAATTATTTGGAGGAAACTGCAAATTAGTATGGTTACCTACCTACCCTCAATATTTATTTATACACCACGACACTAGTCAGTATCTCAAAACTGATAAATAGTTATTGCATACGTAGTAAATTATTACTTTCATATTTAACTATTCTTATCGATACAAAACGGAGCAAAAATAGGTGGTAGTAGGTAGTATAATAATAGGTAATAGAAATTATCCCTGCTATTAGCGACGCTGGCATAGGACAACTATGCATGTCACTATCCAACAAAGGATGAGATGTTTTGTTACGACGACTATGATTCTCAATGTAAAATTCACCGATTCAAAAAAAAAAGCACCGACCAACCAATATTAATTCACTGTATAACTTATGTCCAAATTGATTAATAAATACTTAAATGAAGAATTTCTGTACATTCCTATTTTTCGATAATTGACAATTTTTTGAAAATTAAATTTCAAAACTAGTCCTTGTGATTTCACATTTTGACATGGTCACCCTAAATAGCGAATTTATAAGGAATATAAAAAAAGTAATTTATTTTTCAGATACCGAATTATATACAACGTTGATCATTTTTACTAGGTAGACATTTATACTAAATGTTAGTCTTTGGTTTTTGTTTATGTTGTGATGTCAGGTAAATTCACTCAGTTTCACTAATTTCTCCTGATGCTACAAATTCAAACACACTTGCTACTAAATGTTTTTAGTGGTATATAAATTTTGACCTATTACTTACATGGCAATTCACACTTAAATATAGATTTGGGAAACATTAAAAGTATTGTATACACAATAGAAGAATTTCTTAAAAACTAGGATAGCGAAAAAGAAGTCACAGAAAAAGAACAACAATAATAAATAGTTCATGAGTAATGTTCCACTTATTCCGTATCTCACTTGACTCTAGCCCTGGTTATTTTCTATGGTATATTGAATATGGGAGGCATTAATCATTATGAGATTGCGAAAGCTAATGCTGAACAACAAAATAGGGCCACCGAGGAATCAGTCATTCTTTGGTGATCCCTTCATCTTGAGAGAAATTGAAGCTCGTAACTCCACAAATAAGGAAAACAGCTGCTAGGGCTAAATTGGTGACTTATTTCAAAATGAAAATATCATTGATGCTTGGTGATGATGAGGAAGATCATAGTGATCAACCACGTCCATTCGATTATCAAGAGCCAACGTAAGTTATTCCCGTTAACTGAGTAACTGGAATAACGGTCATGGTAATAGATCAGAAAAACAAAATATCGTGTACGTTTCGCCTGAAAATGATATGTCCCGAACATACCATTTTCATTAATATTATATAACGGGAATTAACGCGATCTCTTATTTAGGGTATTACATACCTCTGGTTTGCCGCACGCAAGTCCTCTCCACCGAACGTCACTTTTACTCAAGAGTTGTACGTGAAGCGATTGAGATTAAAAAGCATAAAACTTTCAATCGGGAAGATGGTTTTAAATTATCTACAGCGTGGAATCCAGTGTTAAAAAACATACCACCTCGCTTTTCTGCGCAATCGGTTAAACACCAGAATAGGGACTCATCGGTTTGCTTACAGAATAGGGACACTGTTAGTGTGGTATGTGACGGTACATGGCGACACAAAAACAATATCGAAAATGTGCGGGTAGATGAAGAGCCTTCTACTTCACGGATTCGACGACGGAGGGCGTGCGCCGATGAGCCAGTCAGCCTGTGACCACGGCCGGTGCAACCTGGTCGAAACGTCAGGCAAACCAGAGGTATGTAATACCCTAAATAAGAGATCGCGTTAATTCCCGTTATATAATATTAATTATCATGGAACGCAAAAGTTTAAAAGTTAGTATACCATTTTCAGGCGAAATCATGTAATCAAAAAAGTAATAAAATTTTATAAGTATAATAAACCAAAAATTAAGTGATTCTCGATTGCCTAAAACTAGTGTCAAAATGTTATAGTATCTTCAATTAGTCAATTTTATAAGTAGGTAGTTGTTATAAGTGAGATAATATTATATTATTTTGTGATTGATCTTAAATTTAAGAGTATTACCTACCAAGTTTAAAGCAATTTTTGTCACCAAGTTCACAGATATAAGTAAAAATCCTAGCATTTAGTGATTTAAAGTTCAAATATAAAATTAGGAGACGGAATAATCATAACATATTATTTATCACGTCATCATTTCAAATGATGTTTATATTTACTAATTACTATAATTTAATAAATGCATTGCATTTATCAAATGTGGTATTTTACCCAATAGCAACTGTGTGTCGTTAATAGGGACGCGGCTCCCGCCAGGATAAAGGTATGGTTCTCAATTTGTTTTCTGCATTGAATCGCAATCGACAATGATTTATCAGTGCCTACTTTTTAACCAAAGATTCGTTACAGTGTATCTCCTACGCCTGTGATTAACGCGGGCAGCCCGTTGCAACATTGGGCGACAGCACCTCTTTCCCGGCTATCAAAACTTATAAGATCGTCAAGCGCATCGACTGCCTCCCTCCACTCACAGACGTCCACTGATGAATCTGATCGATTAACACATCAACGTTACTAAAATAATCACATCAGATATAAAACAACTTATTTTCGATTACGGTGTTCAGTAAGAACTCTTAACCAGTCAAGAATATTTTTAACTGGCGAAATAAGTTCATTCAGTATTTTCGACCGCCATTATAACCTCCTCAACCTACAATAGAGGGGCTGCGGCGCTCGGAGGCCGCTGCCGTTGCACGATCATTCGCCTTTGCGCGTCAATCGTCACTGTTCTATTCTACCCTAATTTAAAAATGATTCATCTGAGGCAACAGTCAAGATTACTATTGCCAAATGCTGGTAACAATATTTTTGACCGGTTAACGGACCGGTGTTCTGACTAACATATTATACACTGCCTGCGATGAACGATGATTTTTGTTGACGTATTTATTGTACTATGGAAATATTACTGAAGCAGTCAGTTTATAATATTAAACACATTCTGAAACACTTGTAATTTTAGTATGTTACTTTTAAGAGCAAGGACGTAAGTGAAAACATGAAGGTATTATATAAATCTGTGTTCTGTATTATGTACCTACCTAATGTAACTATGTGATACAAAAATATAGAATATGACCTATTATTATATCTAGAATAAAAGTATTTAAATTATTACGAGCTACAGGGGCGAAATAAAACCACAAATAGTTTCCATATAATTTATTTTCTTCGCCCCGAACTCACTGTTTTGAAACTAATATTGTAATCAAGTAAGCCTTGAAATATAATCAATAATCTAAACACGAAATAAAAAGAAATCGGGAAAAAATATTGTTTAGTCACCAAATTGCATTGCAATAGGAAACTTAATACATCGCTTATTTGCGAGAAGGGTGATTTGTCGAAATACTTATCTCAATAGATATTGCTTAGATGAATAAAATTAAGTTCCATTCAGGTCGTTCCGTTTGTCTTAAAATTTGAGGTATCTCTTCTCACAAATAACCGACATAAAAGTAACATAAACAAAAGGAGGAAAAATTAAAATAACAATGTCAACACGTTGTAGATGTGGTTGGTATCCCTTATACTACAAGTTTTCGAGTGTCAGAACTAAAAATATTCTACAGCATAGAACGAAGTACGCTCTGGCGTTTGAAAGTAATGAAATTCATAATGAACAGAGTATCTGTTTTTTTTTTCATTGGAAACATTTACAAGAAAACACGTAACGAATATTATACTGTCCTTGGACGAAAAAGAACTAATGCAAATACAGCTACAGCGTGTGACACATACTCAATAAATACATATTATAATATACACTTGATATGATACACGAAGTTTTAGAAGTATATCGAATTACAGCCCTATATAATATGAATTTTCTTTGGCAACCCATCTACAGCCCTTATTTAGTTATATTAAGACTTATTTGCAGATATACTAATTTAACGAAAAATCATAGTAATATTTCAAAATATTGAAAAAAACTTATTTAAAAAATTAGAACGAAATGGTCTTGGTAAATAACCAACATATAAATATTTAAAAAATTAAAACAATATAGAGGAATATCATTTGCAGTTTAAAAATTAAACTGAAGTAAGTACTAACTTCTTCGGATTCGCGGAATAGGCCCTATAGAATAAAATAACTAAACATCTTACCGTTGAGATTATAATATATAACCTTCCTAAAAATAGTTGTTTTTTTCTAATGTGATTTATTTAAGAAAAGTAGGATGTTTTAACTCGATTTAATGAGTATGTAATATAACATATCTTGTAAAGGCAACTCTACTGATTCAACTAACATCATCATTTACGTCAATAATAGTAATACTACACTTTTATCGTTTCTTTTAGGGGTTACCCTCAAAACGTGTAGTAGTAGCAAAAATATAAAAAATCAGCAATTAGCAAATGAGACAAAACTAGCCCCTACACCCTTACGTGTAGTGTCTCCCATTTAGTTTTGTTATAGGTTGTAAAACAAAAGTGATTCAATATCGAATAAAGAACTGTCCCTAATGTCTGGTCCAATTTCAAGGAATAATCTAGTTTTATATTATGCTCTATGCTATAATATAAGCAGGTATATAGTATATTAATGTACGCTTGAGAGTACCCCATTCATTTTAACTGTTCATTTATTTATTGTCACTTACCAAAACTGAAATACCACCTTTATTTCAGCATCGTTCTCGGTCCACCATTATCCAATTATATTTGTATTTTTGTGTCTGTTTCAATTATATATTAACGAGTAGGCAGTACTTCTTCCACCTTTAACAGATCGACAACAAATGATGCAATAGCAAGATGAGAGGCACATAACGTGTATACAAATCAAAAGTATCAAAATAATCATAGAAATACAGTGGTGATACAATTATCAACTCCTCAAAAGTACTGAACTGGGTTAGACTAACTCAGAAAAAATTGTAAACAGTAAACAGTCATGTAAAATACAGTACAAGACAAGATATAGAAACATGGAAACGTTACAATAAGTAACACAAAAATCTAAAAGATCATTTTATCAAATGTCTAACATGTTGCGGCCATTTTGTTGTGTTGTTTTGCTTGTCTGATGTTAGACTGTGATGTTATATCTCTGGATTTGCGATTCTGTGAAAAGCACATTTATAATATGCAAACATTCATAAATGGAATATGAAATAACAGTGCATCATGAAACCGGTAGAAGTTACAAGTAGTTAAAAGTACACCAGATAAAGTTGAAAATAATAATAATAATGATAGCTTTTTAAGGATACCTGTAGAATTTGAATTTGACGTGTGATCAACATAGTTTTATTATTGGCTCAATTGTTAGTATAAATGAGTCTATTCGATATCATCAAACGCCAAATATAAACATGGTTCATCAGAGCACGCACCCTAAACATATACGTTTAAAATATTAAAAACAACAATCGTTAAATAAAATCTCACAGACACAGAAATATATACCTCAAACTGTATCAATATCAAACTTTACGTATGAAAATCATCTATAGTTAGTTATAGGGTCACTTACCTCCAGGGACTGTGGACAGAAACCATCATTATAAATAAAATGAACACACAGTGAATCAATATACACTTTATATGCTTAAAAATAATACAAGTCTGGGGGCCGAACCCACCGAACCGTCTCGAGCGTTATCGCGTCGATTTATTCAATAGTGCCAAGGGAATGTACATAGTGTTACATTACCTTTGTTTTATGTATTTCTCATATAAACTAACACTATTCGGCGTTTAAATACATTACTGATAATCAGCAAGTTACAACCTAGCGAGCCGTCAAGAGAGATTTGGGTGATGTTATATCCTAACTTATGCTAAACAAAGTTCATTGTGTGAATCGGGACATTTTAGTTGTATATTTTATATCAAATAAGATTGTGGACAGCCGAATCTAAAATGACCCGTTCCACTCGGATATTACACAATTTAAAAGACAGTTATTACGTGTGTCAGCTAGTCATTCAGCAGAGTGCATTTACCTCGCATCCTCGCGGCGTCGAAGTCCGCTTATGGTTCATTTCTCTCTCTATAGCTCCGTAGTAGGTCGGATCATTCTGTTACATCTTTAAAGGCAGTGTGGCTTTATAACTTATACCTGGACAAACTGGCATGTCAGTGATCAATATTGGCACGGAACAATCATAACATTTTAATACACGAGACATGATATCAATTATAACACAATAAAAATGATAAACCACACAGCCGTTCATTTAAATTAGTAATTCGTAAAAATAATCTCATTTTATACGTTTAGTTGACAATATTTAAGTGTTAGTTCCCTACAAGAAAAATTATCTGATATGCGCCTATGTACTGTAAGTTTGGAGTTACGTGAATTTAGATGTGAGCAGGAATTATATGATCGAAATTCAATAATTTCTTTCAGTACATTTGTATTTACAATCATAAATAACAATAAAATGGAAAGTTTATCAGATCGTAGATAACGGGCTTTCTGACTAAGGATTGTTATATGTATATAACGTAATATTTATGCCACTCAGATCTAAATGCACAATCTATTGTGAACGTTTGCGGTTGCCTGGCTTGTAGTGGTAGCAACAGATGTATAAGGGTCGCAGGTGACTATATTTTCCAAACTCTTATCTAATTCGTTAACATCTAAAACGAGGAATTCACACGACGGCTGCTCAGTTGTCCGCCTCGGCGCTCTGCAATCACACAAACAAACGAACATGGCAACATATGGTACGACTCAGTTGTAGATATGCGCTCTCGAGCAGGCAACCCCGGAACTGGCCTACATCTGCAACACTACACACACTAAATATTTGCTCCTCAAACATCTCAAATTACTACTAAACATGTCTAATACAGCATATAAATGACTTTTTTCATTGCAAAAATAATTTAAATCATGCAAACTGAAAAGGAATGTATCATATATTAACACATGCATTTTATTAATATATTTAGTGATATGTAACCGAACTGAAAATGCCTGTAAAATAAAGTTCAATTGCAGTGTAAAAACAAACCAATCACCGATAATAAAGTACACAAAATACGTCATAACATGCTGAAATAAATTTAGGTAAACAGAAACGACATAACTATTGCATATCATTTTTATACAAAATATTTTGATAATAACTTTATTTGCTGCTATATCATAATGCAAGATAATGATGCCCATAACGTTTTTTATGACATATATAATACCGTGGAGAAATATTTTTTTTCTATGTAATTTTGTGCTATTTTATTCTATAATACCATTATTTTAAGACACAAACGGGCGCACTCTTGCAGTTATAATATTACTTAAAACACTGGTTTTTTTTTGACAAAAATTATTTAATATTTGTATTTCAATTATGTAAATACGCGAAAGTTGAAGCATTAGAAAGTTGAATATACACATATAAAATATTATGTTACACGAAAAAGTGTTACATAAAAAAAAGCATTTAGTCAAATTGTTTTTCCCTTTTTATATACATTTACTAAAAAGCATCTAACAAAAGACATGAGCCTAATCATATACAGATGTTTATTGCATTCAAAGATATCATTATAGAATATTTAATATATTTGAATTCTCAAAATTGATCCACCAATATTAGATTTTCTGCTGAGACCAATTTGCGAATTTACAAACACGAGTGAATACATTATTTCCACATCATATCGATGTGGAAAGAATCTATATAAATCTCTATGAATCATCATCATCAGCCTGTAATAGTCCACTGCTGAACATAGGCCTCTCCTTAGAAAGGAGGTTTTGGCCTACTATACCACGCTGGCCAGACGGGTTGGTATAGGGTTTCTGACAAGTTTTCCTTCTTTTTGCAGAGCTGGTGTCCTGCGTTGTTTTGCGCCCTTAGTCGGCTCTTACGACACCCACGGGATGAATTGGGGTAGTGACATTCCGTATTCTTAATCCGTCACTACACGGACAAACACATAACACTCTATGAATGTGGGTCTAATAAATCTGAGACTATCATCGGACAAGAAAACGGGATAGAAGGGCTCACAGATCTACACGAGATGTCGTCTTTACCTATTCTATCTGCTCAGTTTTAGGGTACCCATAAGCGTCAGAGGAGACAGTAAAGAAGCGGTATCGGGTGTGTGTGCATACTCACGGCCTACTGGTGGTGGTGGTCGGGCTGGGGCGCCGCGTAGCCGGGGTAGGGCTGGTAGGCGGGGTACACGCCCGGCGCATACACGCCGTACTGCGCGTACTGGCCGCCGCCGGACGGCGCGGGCGCGGCCGAGCCGCCCGGCGTCGTGGCTCCCGGCGCAGCGCCGCCTGCGCTCGCGCCCGCCGCTCCCGACCCTCCGCCCGACTGCTGTTGGAGACGAACGACGTTATGTAAATTGTTACAACTACGTGTACAACAATAAAATGAGTCCGCTCGTTCGAGCCGAGCTCATAATGCGCGAAAGGCCATACTCATAAGTTCAGTTGAATTTCCAGCCTCAAACTAACACACTCGTATTCTCTCGATATACGTGTCGAGTTTAACTTTTTTACTGCGTTCACGAGGAACGTTATTTAACGCTTACCGTTACGTCCTTAATTAACGGTTATCCATCATGGGATCGATAGTTCCGTACCTTCTGCTTGATCTGCGCCTCGATCGCCTCGGCCTCCTTGAGCTTGCCGAGGTTGCGGTAGTACTCGGCCCACTGCGCGCTGTAGTCGTGCGCGGGCGCCTGGGGAGCGGGCGCGGCGGGCGCGGGCCCTGCGCCGCCCCCGGCCGCGGCCGCGCCACCGCCGCCTCCGCCCGACCCTGCTGTTGCTGCACCCAGGCAAACATTTTATTAATTCGACTACTTAAAACAAAAAATCGACGTTATATCGAACACAAAGATTTATTTACAAATTTCCTTAAAAAAATATTTCATATATGTATTTAAATACATATTGGTTACAGTATTTTTCTTTGAAATTTAATTTTTTTTTATGCCTGAACTTCTTTTTGGCAATGTAAGTAGTATCACCCTCAGATGTGGTATATATAAAACGAACTTGAGTCTTTTACAGGAATGAGATTTGAAAATCACATTCCACTGTAATGTAACCCAAGACGTCTCTTTTTTAAATAAAATATTTTTTTTAACGAATCCCTCTAAGTAAATAATATAGTAATAATATATAGTAAGAGTAAATTTCAAAATATCTGCATCTTGCTTGAACCGATTCACAGACAAGCAAGGTACAAATTTTCGGCAAACTATCAAACCCTAACCCAAATTTACTAGGATACATACCATCCATTCCAGCTTGTTGCTGCTGCTTGGCCTGTTGTTCGATAGCCTCGGCCTCCCGCATCAGACCCATAGAACGGTAATAGTCGATCCATTGCTGCGAGTAGTCCGGCTGGCCCGTAGCGGGATTTATTTGCACCTGTTGCTAGATCACAAAGAAAGAATTTAATATTTTATATTATTATCGTAAATTTTTTTTGAAGAGTTAGTAGTTGTCAAAAGATTGTTTTTTTCACTTTAAAATATTGTCATTTATCTGGTAATACTGACGTTTTATAAAAAGAAATAGTAAAAAAGGAGCAAAGAAAGTAATTCAGTTAACATTTTGAAATTCGAACACTTTATACCAATTATTTCGGCAGAGTGGTCTTGAATGTTTTCAAGCCTATAGTGGTGTGAGTTACCTGTGGCTGCTGCTGGGCGGGCTGGTGCCAGTGCGGATTGTAGCCCCAGGCGGGCGGGCCGCCAGCGCCACCGCTGCCGTAGAACTCGCCACCGCCGTTACCGTTGCCGTTTCCACCGTTTCCATTACCGTTACCACCATTACCTTCTTGAATGAAGTTAACCGGCTGAAAGTACAAAGTCACTCTTAGATAGTTAATATAGTGATAGTCTTATCAATATTTTTAAGTGATATTTTGCAAATGAAACTAATGAACTTAATAATATAACCAAAACGTGTTATTTAATTTTGTTTATATGTAAAAATATACTTTTATATATAAATCCTAAAACTCGCTTCGTTACGTTCGTAAAATAATATAGTTTTCTAAGATTTTTGTTTTTCTCACAACTAACTAATTAACATATTGTCATGAAAACGGGTACAGAGATAGACTCTACGCCAGTGAACTCGAGCCATAGTATTTGTATGAGAACAACACGGTTGGAAAAAAGGAATAAATGCCTTAAAATTGGCCTTGGCGGCCAAGGGGTTTTACTTATCCCAGGTATGTTAATCTGTGTGTTTTACATAATATGAAATGTAATTTCCAGATAAACAATAGCAAAAACGGTTTTCAGAAAAATGATATCTGACAATGTTCTGAAGAAAACTGGTGTCATCACTTACCACACCGACTTTCTCCATAATGATCCTCTTGCAGTGCTCCACGGCCTCGGGGTGTCCCCTGATGTAGAAGGTGCGGTTGTTCCGGTCGGCGCCCTGCGCCCGCCGGTCCAGCTCGCAGTGGGCGCCTGACGCAGCATTTATCTGCTTTATCACTTCGCCACCTGTACAAACATATAAATATGAAGATATACATTTTTTATTTTCCGTATAAAATTTAGATTTAACAGTTATATGTATTATAAAAATATTTTTATAACAGAAAATCTTAATCTTGACCTGATAAATCAAAACGTATATTTCACTTATTGATAACTGTAACTGTGTGCATATTGATAATACTGACCTCTGCCGATAATGAGACCGCACTTAAGATTAGAAACGGTAAAAGTGACTCTGACTTCAGGCGAGTCTTGCCACTGCTGGTAATCTCCGCCACGCTCGCCGTTCCGCTGCGATGAGCCTCCACGTCCGCGGCCAGCCCGGACTTCTTGTTCGCGTCTCTGTATAGATCGAATAACATTAAGATGTTTTTGACACATATGTTCGAAAAAACTTGCAACACCATAAATGTAATTGTTTGGATTGAATAAAAGTCTCGTCATGGAGGCCGTAAAATAATACACAAGCAAGATTTGAATATTCCTAACCTCCCCCTTGAATATGGCTCCCCCATCTGAAATTGAGCTTAAGTAATGCTTGAAGTACAAGGTCATTCAATTCGACATCAATCTCAACATACAAATACATTGTAGAGATTTAATATAAGCAATGAATAGTTACATTTACACTGGAGATGAGATCTTCAATCATTTGTCTTGCTTGGTCTACTTGATGTGGCTTGCCTTGCAGGTAACATCTGTAAATAGTTAAAACGTTATTTACAGTGAAGTAAGAAATGCTTCAACAATGTAATTCGCATTAATAATATTATTACGATACTACTATTGAATGTATTCGTTTTAGTTTCTCGAACATTGTAGATAAAACTAATGTAATGTATGTATGTAATTTAATATTCTTGTATGCTGCCTGGGTGACGCAGTGGTAGCGTATGCGACTGCTATTCTGAGGTCTCGGGCGATTCCCAGGTCGCACCAAATATTTATACTCTGCAAATATTTGTTTCGGAGTTTGGGTGTTTTCTATATTATATTTTCTATAGTATTCTATCAGTCAATCCAGCTTTCATTGTACAAGCTTTGCTTAGTTTGAAACTACTTGGCATTGTGTGTTAGATGACTGAAATATTATTCATTTATTTGTTTTTCTTACCTCTTGTCGCAAGGGCCGTCATCCCTCTCTTGATGAAATTGCACTCTAGCGCCTGTTTCGGCCTGGATTTTCTTGATCATGTCTCCACCGCGGCCTATGACAATACCTACTGCCGCCTTTGGCACTAATACCTAAGAACAAGTTTATTGGATAATTTGAATATACATATAATACAGATTTCTAAGAGTAGGCAGTGGAATAATCGTGTTTGATGAGGGGTAACACATATTCTACTGACTTAACATAACGTACATTAAACAAAACAACAAATATAAGTAAACAAATATACGTTTGGATTTGGCAGGTAAAGATTAATATTTTCTGTTATAAAAATATTTTTATAATACATATAACTATGAAATCTAAATTTTTTACCGAAAATGAGAAATGTATATCTTCATATGTTCTGTTGGGTTCATAATATGAAAATGTTTCCTGACTTTTAAAACTAATCAAGTTTATAATCACTAGTAGCACTTACTTCAGATTTGAAGCTGCTAAAACCTTTGTAATTACTAAGGGATAGCCCACTTTCGGGCCTACACATGACAGAAACAGAAATAGTGGAAAAATATTTTTGTTTTCTTTCAATACAAATCACAAGGAATAATTTTAATTTTCTTCCAGTTGGTAATAAAAATATTCCTAGTTCTTTCAAGTTCACATTTTGCCGTCAAATTAATAAAAAGTGTCAGTCTGTAAAAAAACGTTAGGGTCAAAGTATTAAATACGAATGTGCAAGTAAATTTATTTTCTGGTTTTCTATTTTTGTATTGCATTTCTGGCCTTTTAGAGATTTTTTCAACGACTTAGACTGTTACTACTTTACTTGCTTTACTTTCCTGCTTTATGCAGAAACTATTTCGCAAACAACTTAACCTACCATAGATTACAGGTAATATTTCTTGATTATGCAATGAAACTGAAACTATATATATAATCAAATCAAATCAAATCAAATCTTTATTTGCCAACCAAGTGTACATCAATGATCTTATAATATTATATGTAGTAGTCCCAGCTCAGAAGCCTTTTCCAGGCATTGCAAAAATTTGAGAGAGAACGCAGAAGAATAAATTGTTACACAAGTACAAGCATTTTTTGAACAATACAAATTAAGTGACTCAATAGTACAGTATAACAATCGAATAAAGCATGCAAAAATACGAAGGCACCCGACATTCTACATCACTAATACATATACACATTTTCCTACTGTCCCTAGCATTTCCGAGCATCACGACCGATTTTTCTTTTTATGATTTGTACTTAGGTATATGCTTTCTGTTTTCCGTGTAATAAGAAATATAGTTTGTTAAGCGTTTTTTTCCTCAATGTATTCTTTAACAGAATAGAAACATTTTGTAATTAAGAATGCTTTTAGTTTTTTAATGAATAGTGTAGTCTTCGTTTCATTTTTTATGTGGATAGGTAATTTGTTGTATATTTTTACAGCCATGTGGTAAGGGCTCTGGTGTAGCATTTTAATTCTTGATGGTGGTAGGTATAGTCTGTCTCTGTGGCGTGTGTTTAAATTGTGATTGTCTTTTACTCTCGCGAAGTGACTCATGTTCTTGGATACAAATATGCAGATGTCAAATATGTATAATGATGGTAGTGTGAGGATGTTATATTTAATGAAGAAGGGCCTACAACTATCACGATTTCCAATTTGTCCGATAATTCTAATACTATATATATATAATAACTTCATATTTTTACCGGCATAATTTATATAATTATTAAAGTTTAAAAGTCTAATCTGCACTGAGCATTTGAAGTCTGCAACAGGGTAGATTCCTAGGTTTAAGAAAATTATTTCGCCTATATATTAAGTATGACGTCACGCCATAGTATTTCATACAAAAATGAACCGCTAGACGCGCGTTTTAAAGTTTGGCAAAAAGACACAGATTTGACTTAACAGTCATCTTTGCAAATTTAATCATTTTCGCACAACACAAATGGTTTCGACAAGTACAGTATACAGAAAAACTAATATTTATCAACATACCTCTGTTGAATTGGAAGCGAGACCATTGCCCTGGTCCTGTGACGGATAGCCGTCGTCGTACTGTGGCCTCGGACCGCCGCCACCGCCGCCGCCTCCCATATCTTTCTCGGCCAGTAGCTCATAAACCAGCTGTTTGGCGTGCTCAACTTTCGATGGGTCGCCGGATATACGCAGTGGCTTCTCCTATGTAACAACTTATATTTTATAATATCTATCTTTAGAAATAGAACTACTTCATTTAAGTGTATTTTTTTTTATTAAACCTTACGTCTAGTTTAGACCGATGATCAATGTCGTATTTCAGATCATTAAATGTTATCTAACGATAGGTACTCACCAGGTTTAAAGTGAGATTCATTATTATCTATTTTTATAAAAATGTTAAGTTGGTTTGCAACATACATACAACCTGCTTCAAAGATGATTTTTATCTATTTTTTGAGGCAGTTTTGTTTCTCTCACAGCAAACAACTTTTGTGTTGTTTTAATCTTTTTAAATTATTGGACTTTTGAACCTGTAATGGTCTTTTTTCAAATTTAATGAAAGCAATATTTTCAGTAGTGAAAAATGTAAATAATATAGGTCTTAGGTTGCGAGTCCCATTCCGGATCTGTGTAAACATTTGTGTCGAAACCCATAATACAAGTTCTGTTGGTTTAGATGTAGATAGCGTCTAATATGTCTATTGTCGAAAGTGAAACGCAACGGTTTGCATACATAATATACTTTCCTTGGTTACGTTAAAAAATTAGTGTGACACTACTACACAGAGGAAGGACATAAATTTTGTTTCCATAAGTAATATTTGAAAAGAAATTATTCAACTTAGAAAAGTTAAAAAACTGTATTTCATCCACAGCAGCAGAACATAAGAAACTAACATAATTAGCTTAATAGTATAGGGTGAGGACACATGCTGCCGCCTCTGCAGCATTAAGTTGAATATTCTACCTTAGCTTGAACTCTAACTCAACCAACTGAAGTGGGCAGGCTCAAATAAAAGAGTGTTCTTGGACCAATCTAATCTAAAATGATACCGCATACCTCAATTAAAACTGAAGATATTAAGCTAAAAAAAACTTCAGAATGGTGAAAGTCGTAAAATGTAATGTCGACTCGTAGATCGTTTATGATAATAATATTAGAACAATAGCTACTTACATATTCTGTGTTAGGTCCATCTTGTATGACAACCATCTTAGCACCAGACTGTTCTTGCAGTTGTTTGATGGTTTTGCCGTTTTTACCGATGATAAGTCCTACCTTGGGACCCGGCAACATCACTTCTTCCTGTTGTACAGAGTGTAGGCTCTTAATAAAAATTGCTAATATTTTTTTAATCTACTCGGCATTTGATAGAAAGTCACTGATGTATAATGTAAGACTATATACACTTTAAATACCAATCACATTTACTTTTTAAGTTGTAATTGTCAGCATTTCCTTATGTTTAATACGCTTTTCTAACCATAACAATTAGTTATCTAATTGTTATGGTATACACATACAACACTATATTATTATAGTGTTGTAATAATATTACTGGTTTACGCAATGAGGAAGCATGGAGTGTAAGCCCCACACTGCAAGAGATTCTATATAAGAAGTGTAAAATAGATGCTTAGCTCTTATTCTGATTCTTCCTGAATCATCCTCAAGAACCAAAGATGTCATATATATATTTTATAATTCATTTGTATTTTAATATTGCTGACATTTATTATAAGGGAATATTGTAAACAAATATGTTTATTAATAAGGTAAGTAGATATTTCCTTTAAACATTGGTTATTTTGTAATGTGGTAGTAAACAAATCCTTAATTTGAATAGTACGTGTTACAAATTACAATAGATTAATTAAGTTCTATACTAATTTTGAAGTGATTCAAATGCACTGCTCTTACCGTTACGGCTAGTCCGCCGCCGCCACCTCCGCCACCCATGCCGCCTCCACCGCCGCCTCCCCGGACCATCGGGGGCATGCCGCCGCCACCGCCACCGCCGCCGCCGCCACCACCTCCGCCGCCGCCGACGCTACCGCCGCCAGGGCTGTCTTGGTGCTGCGGCGCGTTCTCGCGACCACGGTGATTCACAATCTGATTCACCAACTCCCTGAGAAAACATTTTAATTTTATATTCGTAAACTTATTAATGTTCATGTTAAGTTTTTTTAATTTCATACGTAGTTCATCATTATTCATCATTTATGTGCACTATTTAATATAAATTTAATAATAATAATCGATTTTAAGAGTAAATATATAGGTATATTAAGTTCATAGAGAATACGCCCCTGTTAAACTTTCGTTGTTGAAATTGTTAGCACAACATAAAATATACAACAGGTATGCAAATCATCAGATAATATGCATGAAGCTACTGTATGATCTACAATTAATTGTTGTACAATTTTGCTTAACATACTTAGCCCTCTGAATCGCCTCCCGCGATCCAGTCAGAGTACAGAGTCTATCTGGTTGGCCACCTGAGTCCGGTGCCATTTGTATCTTGCATCCAGACTCGGCTTGCAGACGAGTTATCTGCTCACCACCGCGACCAATTACTGTAATGAAAAAATAACTATAATACAGCATACTAAACATTAACATTTTGATAATATATTTTAAATATGTAGAACTTGAACACATCCATGAACACACATCATGAACACACATCCTATCAGAGAAAACTCCTTTTAATGGCTCTAGCAGGTTAAGCAATATATAACTGCACCAGTATAGTTTTTCTGTTCTATTGTTGACAATTCTGAAAGTAGAAAGTATTCTTCGTACTTTCATGAAATTTAACATGTAAGACGCTATGTGAAGTGAATTATTATTGTAATAACAATAAAAAATGAGAAGTAGGAAATTATTGTCTTTGATTGTCATAGAAAAAAATTAAAATGTTCTATTTTAATTTTTTTTCTACGACAAGTGGTAGTCCTTGTCTAGTCGTTCGCATAGAATTGAAGTAACTGATTATAATATGTTTAAAAACAATGGTATCAGCTAACAATAATATTATTATAATAAGAAGCTTATCTTGAGATACATAATGTTTACTTCACATGTGATATTTTTTTATTTTATAGAATTCTATTCAACTATATTTTAGAATACTACTAATAGACTAAGTATATGTAAAGAAAATATATTTTCTTTAATTTATTGTCTACTATGTCATCTACTGGCAATTATTTGACATAGATGGTGCTGTAAGCAATACGATAAATATTGAAAATGTGATTAAGTGAATAATTTTGTTATGCTGGCAATATTGTGAGAAAACAGCACTTAAAAAGAGTGACTAACAAAATTGGGAATAAAACTACAAAATATAAAGGGAATTTAGAATTAAAATAATATACTTTAATCGCCGTTTCTTTGTTTTACAGGTAAGATTAAAGGTATTTGCAATAGATGTGTAGATGTTATAACGATTTACGTTAAATAAAAAACGTTTTACAGAGCAACACGTGAATATTATTTGTTCTTCATTCCTATAAAATTACTTTATATATATTAAAAAATAAAAGAAATATATTTTTATGTGCTTTGAATTACGCGTTTGCGTTTTCCGCGGGAAAAGAGACTCGCAGCTGTGATAACGTCACACGTGTCTGCCTGAGAATTCCGACTTTGAATTTTTTTTTTTTGTAAACTACATTCAACAGAAAGTAGGCATTATTGATGGCTTTATAAGATCAATAACGTTGCGACTAATAAATAAAAGTAATTAAAATCAAAACGAATTTTCTTCCTACCTACGTTTAGTGTTTTAAGTGCTTCATTGAGGTTTAATTATCTTTGTCTGCCCCATACAAGAGTGTGGTGTGAGTGTATGTATGTATTGACACCTTTTATTTAATTATATTTCTTGTTGTTAAACCAAGTGGAGCCACAGGATGTGTGGTGGAGGCACATGCTCAAACCAACGAAATACCGCGTTCGTTTAAATTATTGAAGGTCACTCGAACCAAGCATGTAATGAGAATTGACTTGGTTACTTTGCGAATCTCAACTTTTTAAATTAAAAAAAAACAAATCCTGCTTTAGGTATGTATCCTGTGTCGAGGGGGGACTTTATAAACATACATGAAAGGGACAAAAAGAACACCTAGACGCAGAACAACAATTTGTGGATCACACAACACTCAGCGCAATAGGAAGCGGCGTGGCGACCGCTTATGGCACTAACGCCATCCGTGCAGTCATACTACAACGATAATAATAATATACTCTATTAGGATTCAGTAAAATTTTCGATCTCAATTTAAAAAGGAAAGTAAAAAGTAAGTCTCAAGTCAGGGTATTTTGTAACAAACACTCCCAATAGAATGAACCATCTTTAGTGATTACTGAAGTAAATTTCTTCAGTCTTTTTATGCCTCTTGCATGAAAAAAGGCTCAATATTTGGAAAACTCTAAGCTAGATGAATCTGACATAGCTCCAGCGAATTTTACTTCCCTCCACTATCATCCTTCGGAAAATTGAACCACAAAAAATAATATATGGGAAGTCAAGTTGCTATGCTACAATGATACTTCATACTTACTTATCTATTGATGTACAATTTTCTAAAATAAAGCACCCAATGTTTTTTTAAATCAACAATTATTTCCTCCTTAGTTTATAATTTCTTTCAGGAATTCATGGGGATGCTAATAAATTTCTTTGTTTTCACTGAACCAGTTTAATTACCACTCTAAAACATAAAACGGTCTTCACCTAACCATCATTGAGTTGTGTGAATAATTTAATAAGACCAAATATATGATAAAAGGGAAAAAATTATACAGTCTACAGTACTAAAACTTAAGGTAGTGTATGTCACTACCTCAAGTCTTTGTCCCCAAAGGGATAAGCAGAGGCATATTAATACCCCTTATGTTGCAGACTACAATTTCAGTCCCTGTTATGTAACAATAGTGGGCAAAACTTTTACTGTCAACCTGGCATATTTATTTCTAAACTAGCTGATGCCCGTGACGTTGTTCGCATGAAATTAGAAAAGCGCTGCCTTAGTGGGTTTGATTCCTGGACCAGGCAATATTTTATAGGGTTTTTCGAAGAAAAAATAGCCTAAGTTACTCTTTATATGGACAGCCACTTGGTAGTACAATATTATTAAAATCGGTTTAGAGGTTTTGAGGATTACCAGGAGCAAACAGACTGACAGACAAAAAATATTGGAACTGGTTTTTAGGCACAGGTATCATGCAAAATAACTGTGAGTTGATCAATCAGTCTGTGAAGCAGTCGGTCAGTTTCTTCTTTTATAGATATAGATTACACCAACATAGAACAATAATGATCATGCTCATCACATAAGAAAATGGGTTTCCATACAGTGGGAGAAAAATAGTAGAATGAAAGAATCATAATTATTAAATTGAATGTTTACTTACTGAGTCCAACCATCTTATCAGGAACACGTATGTACTCATTAAGAGTCTGGTCGGGCATGAGGTTGGATTGTCCACTGGGCGCCGGAGATGTAACCCCACCTACCACAGGCGCAGCTACGCGACCGCCAGGTGCTACTGCTGCCGATACACTATTACAAAACAAATTATTACTAAAAGACATGAAATAATTTAACTTACATTTCTTGAAATGACCAAACAGTTACATGGTTATGACCTATTACAATCAAGTACACATCAAATAATGGATCATACTCTTGTGAAATGTGTTTACTGCATTCTTATGTTCCAGTAGCAAAATCCATTTTCACATGGTATAATATATTCATTTTTAGCTTTTTTTGCTTATCACATGTTTGTTTTAATTTTGTTAAGAGTGTAACCACCTCTATTGTTGAAGTGGGGTGTCATAAGCGCTGCCTAAGGGAGCAAACTATGCTAGACAACAGCACTGCAAACAGAAGGAAAACTTGACAAAAACCTCCTTTCTAAGGTTTCTTCTAAATAAGTAAACCTTACCTCATTTGTTGTTGTTGATATCCACTATCCACTGAAGCTAATTTTTTCGCATTCGGTTCAGGACCCTCCTCCAAAGGTCTCTTACTGCCACCTACCTCAAGCTTAGCAGCAACCTGTGAATATAATCGACATTGAAAATCCAAGTTATATTTCTTTTTCATTTAATGTGTAACAAAACTTAGTGACAATAATATTAGTGTGCCTTTTAAGTTATCTTATATTTTTTCAAAATAGATTACATTACTGTTTATAATACAATGACAACAGAAACACTTGTAGGACAATTTTGGTAATAGGACAGTTTCAGTTTATTAATGTCAGTATAGAATTTATCTGTTGTTATTTGTGTTTATCTGTTCTACAAATATGGAAAACGCAAGTCGCCATGACATCACATAATGAAGTTGGCAATAATTAAACAAATTAATTCTTTTTTTTCATTGTTTACTGTGCCATAGGATTAAATAAAACACTTCTAAGAAGGCTGCAATACCATATTACACCAATAATGGTCAGAGGTAGAATACCTTTTATGTACCCTGTAAATGTTCTCTACCAATGTGCTACTACCCCCATTCCTTATCATCTTCCGACTTAACAGTTTTTGCTTCTTTACAAAATGCTCACAATCATGACCATAGTGAGAATCACTGCCTTAAGCCAGGCTTTCTACAACAGTAATGAATGCAATGTCACACCATTGCTGCATCTGCCCTAAGTACCATATCACTATGTGCAGTGATGGCATATAGACATATATCTTGAGTTATATATCAAGTTTAACTCAAATTTTTGTTTTTTGTCAAGTGTTTGTTTACTATACCAACTAGCAACAACAATGCTTCACGCAACCATCCTATTTTTCGAATGTGTAGTTATTATAACAATATATGCTCTCAAATAGATATTTTTAATGATAGTATAATTGTATTCAAGTGCTTTTTACATAAAACTGAAATATATAAACCTATCAATGTAAAATTATAGTAACACATTTGTAGATATAACTTATTCAATTTGCTGCATCTCACTTTCTTATCTAATAGTATTTTTTTTCTTTTTTGTGTTTATTTAATACCTAATTGAAGCTCTATCATCGCGATTGTGAATGATGTGTATAGTTTTAATTGGACTTCCGATTTAAAATTGTATGCTGTTACTTGTTACTGTGTGGGGTATGATCTGTTGTCTGGAACTGTGCCAATTAAGTAAAAATAAAATAACGACAAAACATACAATATCGACAAAAAGATAAACACAAAAACACTTTATCTTAATACAACAGTCAGGTATTTGTTTCATAGTTCAGAAATATATTTTAGCACAAGTAACAAACATTTTACACATATAAATTCAGATGATTCTGTCTGTACTGAGTATGTCTGTAGTCTGTACTGTAATAGTTACAGAAATAATTACTAAGTTCGTTATTTGAATTCATTTCAAAATTGAGGACTGCTTAAAGATTCAAAACTAAAGAAACAGATCTTAACAGGTAACAGAATACATAACTTTTGCAATATTTTGAGAAGTACAAAATAGAGATGTACAATGTGAATCATCAGACCTAACAGTGTAAGGCATCTTGTATGATTCGCGCCCACCGCCCTTTACCATGCTTTGATGCGACGGACCCAGTAATTTCTATTACTCACAGTAACCGATTCTTCCGGTAACAAACAATAACAATTCCACACAGTATTGTAACCTGCATATAGCACTAATTAAAACTAGCCAAATTTACAATCAATAAGTAGGTTAGGTAAAAGTAATTCACTGTCTTACCTACGAACTACGAATCTTCATTCGAACATCAAGTTCCTACAAAATTGTCAGGTTGATCGAAAAATTTATGATAATTACCATGTTGAAGGTATAAATACAAAAAAAATAACGGTAAATAACATGCAAATGTCAATAGAGAGACGATATTAAATAAAGAGAAGAAATGCTTACCAATCTAGCACGTTCTAAAGCAGCCGCAAATCCCCCCGTTTGGCTATTGTTTTGAAGCGTACCCATAGGAGAATAATCACTCATATTTGAACCCAATTTCACATTCAACTGCGTTATACCGCTGCCATTAAAAAGGATCAAAATGACCCAAAAACTTTATGAAAGATTTCTCTCGCAACGCGAGTTCGTTTCGTCGCGAAAAAGACGCGGACCACAGACAAAGTGGAAGATGTTAACGCTTACCCAGCAGTGGTATTTCGTTTTGTATACAAAAAAAATCTTAAGTCTTTTACCTAAGTGTCCACAAATGATGAATAATAACTTATTGATACTAAAATTGTTCAAATGCTTGATAACTTTTTATTTTATTATTAAATTTTAAAATTTCCTAAAAGACATAAATATTGTCTTTGGATGTTCAGAAAATTTCGTTTAGTTATTGGTATAACTTTAACAATGCTTGAGAACAAAATATTATTAAATGATTTAATTTAATTTACATGTGAACTGTCATTCTTAATGTATAGCTATTGATAGCTTTTAGTTATTAAATATCAGTAAGTGAGATGTTCAAAACATTTTTACTCATTAAAATCATTTTTGCATATCTTTGTAAAAATATTGTGTGATTTTTTTTCCTAATAGGTAGGTTATAGGTACATGGGTAGGTATATAGGCATTTGACTTCCTTATTCATACACAACCACAACCAAGGAATATTAAGGGGCTACATATAATAAACTGAAATTTTCTTTCAAAAAGTATATTTTTAAAATCCTTTTGACTAATTTGTTCAAAATGTAACAACGTCATCATCAATAATGACTAATAGTTTGGGAGTTTTTTTTTTTGGGTTTGGGCTCTATCACCTAATCGGGTTTTATAAATCTGGAAGATTCACTCTTTCGCAATAAACATTTAAATATTTTTATATGAGTAAGCTGTTGAATGCGTGACGAGAGCGTTACGAATAGTGTGATCGGGCGAGGCGAACGGAAGTTGAGAGGGAGATATAAGTTAATAAAATAATATTACTGTACGGGCAAGAGAGAGAGGTGCGAACACACATTATCTTTCTCTCAAAGCCAAGAAGTTTTACTTCATTCGTGTGGTCTAAATCACACTCATTGCTTTTTGTTTTTTTTGTCAAAACTAAATTATAATGATAATATAATAATTATAGGTACATCTATGGCGCGAATGCTATTAAATAAAACAAAAATCCTATGAAAGATTTTACAATAGTTATATAGGATGTAGAATGTTTCTTCCAGCATTCGCACATACATATTAATAAATGGTATATAATATGTATCCATCTGTAATTATTATAATATTATTATGTTAACTATAATTTACTTATCCTTTTTGGTCATTAATGACGATTATTATCTTATTCAGACTAAAAAAGTAACAAGTAAGTTTATCACGTATGCTTAATACGTGGCAATAGACACTATCGTATTTTTAGGTGTGAAAAAGTCATTAATCCTGAAGGTCCTGATTACGGTAGTAGGACAAACTATTATAATTAATATGACACGTTTGCTATATTGATAAGTTTGGTTTTAAGTGGATCAGATTTGTGAAAAACTGTACACACATAATTTAGAACATTAAAAATATTCGGTCGGTCCTTCGACGATAATTCGACGTTTTAAAGTGGCTCAAAATCACGTTAGAAGATTCTCTTACATACCAAGCCAATAAAAGCGTGGTAAAAAGATTTAGTAGGTATTATATGAAGAGTATAAAAGACATATTTGTTTGTCTACGTCATTGCTTTGTTTCGATTTTTTTATTACAATGTTACAAACTCCAAACAAATTTTGAAACTGAATTGAAACCTAATATTTTATTATTATTGAGAAATTAAAACGTATTTAATGAAATAATAAAATTTTAAATAAAGTCAATAGATGTAGATTTCAGTTCAAAGCAGTTTTTGAGTGATTAGATTTTTTAGATAAAACCTATATTATAACTCTATATTAAACCATTTACTTTTAGGAGAAGAATCGAATATAGTAATAAACAATAAATATTATTTACTTATATATATTCTTTCTTTTAATAAAGAAAACAGATTAAATTTGTATAGTTCTCTTGCAAAAGTCTTGGATGCACTGGACAAAACTAAACGTTGTAACTTTTTTCTATGTTATGGGTGCGTGCATTTGTGTTGTCCGGTGTTTGAAGACGCTTGGAATTCGCTTTCAATTTCATAGTACTAAAAATGTCGGGTGATACCGATAAAGCAAAAATCAGTGATAATCAGGTATAGTTGTGAAATATATTTCTATATCAATTTTCTACGTATTAGTGCGCATCTGTTAAGAACAATTTAAGTTGTGAAGTGATGTTATTTCCGTGTTATATCACTAATGTTTGCCTGCGTCTCAACATGGCTGACAGAACGTTTGCTTCCCGCTAAAAGCGGGAACTACGCCACCGAGGGTTGTGATACTAGTCAATATTTCGTAATAAAAACTGTGAATGCCGTTTTGATCAGTTATCGAAACTGATTCTAATGGGATATATTTCGGGATTTCGTATATTTTAGCCACCCCCGCCCCTTTGCATTTCGTTGCAGGGCCTTTGTTAATGTGCACGATGTTATATGACATTGATATGAAATCCGCATGACCTTGATATTTAGTTTCTAGCGATTATTCAATTTTAGAGGCAGCGTGATATGTTGTTGTTCCACCGAACCGCGGCCTCACGACTCATTATTTACGCTCCGAACTCGGCCGGCGATGTAAATAAAACATGGAAATGATCTTGGGGCCTTTATTGCTAGGTACTTATTTCCCGATAGGTACATCTATGGCGCCAATGCTATTAAATAAAACAAAAATCCTATGAAAGATTTTACAATAGTTATATAGGATGTAGAATGTTTCTTCCAGCATTCGCACATACATATTAATAAATGGTATATAATATGTATCCATCTGTATATGTCTACTGTACTACTAGGTGAAAAGCAATAAATTTTGTGACTTGTTTCCATAATCATAAGGTTGATAATCGAGTAGTAGCGTGCGGTAGTGACGCCGACTTCGCCAATAGAATGGGTTCGACATGCAGATTTGGCAATGCAAGATTGCAAATTTTCAATTTTATCTTTAACTTACAGATGAAAAATTTGTTATTAGTTAAAAAACTAATAAGAACCTTGAAATCCACGATTATAACAAATTGTTAAATGGCTTAGCAACAGCACGTGTATTGTTTCATGATACGTACATATCTAGGAATTAAATATTTTTAATTTAATAAACAGAGTGGCATGATCAATGATTTCTATAATATAAATTATGAAGTCATGCTGTCTAAAAATGCCTTCATACTAATATACAACTGTATTACCTTGTATGAAAGAAGAGTATGACCAAAGAGTATTTGACCTTTATTTTGTTCATCACCTGTGGATTGGTATTAATAAAATATTACTGGTAAATAAGTACAGAGAAATACAGGGATCGTGTTGTCTAATTTATTGTATTGACTTTAAAAAACATAGCTAATTCCTCGTTAAAATATGAACAATTTATTTTAATTTAGTAAACATACTTCATGTTGTAACACTCATTAGCTGCATAGTTATTATTGATTTATACATATACAGAGCTGGTCACTGGTAAGAAATTAACGAAATTAGGTATAAGTTTAATAAAAAAAAAAACTGGTTGACAGTGCTGGTTTTACAACCTTTTTTCGTCTATGACAGTTCAGAAAGTAAATTTTGTATTATACCAATCCAATCTTCTAGTAAAAGTTATGGGGAAAAGAATACAAAGAATACTTTTAATATAAATTTCACTTAAAATGTCAACTTAACTATCTTATTTTAACTTAAAACATATACAAAATATTTCTATTGTGCAGGATGAAGATAAGAAATCTGCGGCAGACGATGGCCACACTACAGAGGATGAGTCCTCACAAGACTCAAAAGGTGAGTTTTGAGTTTTTCAAAATTCATCTAATGCACACAGATAATCTTGAAGTTTTGGTTAACATGATCATGTGTGTCTTAGTGCGGAGCAGTGTTGCCAACACTTGAAGTCCTAAATGAGCTATTCTTGGTTGCAGAGCCTAGAATAAATCAATTTATGAGCAAAATTTTTTGAAACCTGAACCCTAAACCTAACATATTTCACCCCCATGAAAGCTTATCTATATAACCCTAAAAAATAAGCACCAAAAAATATGGAAGAATTGTGAAATGATTATTGTAGGTAGAGGCAAATTTTCTTACATGGAAAACAAAATGACCATGTCTTATGAGAACCCTTTCCCCCTGTGGTATTTGAAAATTAATATTATTTTCAATTACAACTCTACTAAACTACTAAAAAAACTAGAAAAATAAATTATATTCGCTTTGACAATATGAAATGTATGTTTGGCAAACTAGAATAGTTAGCTGTGATAACTGATATACTGAATGAGGAGTCCCAACTTTCGTGATTTTTCATATTACCTACTTCTCATTCCAAAACTCCAATGTAATTATTTTTTTATTAAATAAAGACAACTCCCGCACTAGAAATATATATTCCGTCGAGGGGTCCTTACAAACACTCATGAAACGGACTCAAAGAACACCCAGACTCAGAACAACAATTTGTGAATCTCATTAAGTTTTGACCCATTTGGGGATCGAACCCACAACACTCAAAGCAGTAAGAAGAAGAAGCGGCGAGATAGCGGTTTAAACAGCCATCGATGTATAATTTTGAATTATCTATCTACATGCATCAAATAAGCAAGTCTGTTAAATGATAAGCTGACAGGAGAGACCACCTACTATAAAATGACGTTCAAATAACAAATCCACACAAATAACAATATAATTTTTCAAAATAATATATTTTACATAACAAAACGACTAATTTAAATTTTGTTTCATAAATAAAGTGATTGCTCCATTTACTGAAATGTTTAGTAAATTTTCAATTTTTATACAGGTAACACCAATTTTTACATCAGTGTGGCCTATTATAAACTGCGCTTCAACTTCAATATGCAATCTCTCATGGTTTATCATAAAATAAAACAGTACAGACCAAAATTAACTCTTTATACACATACACAAAACTTTATATAAAAATACACAAACGATAACGTTTTTAATGAAAAAATAAGATTATGTGGCTTTAGTTTAAATATTTTACTCTTTAAGTAGTATACGTCACTCTTTTTGAAATTGAGTTGTATTTTTTTTTCATAATTTGGCAATACAGAGAGAGGTGTTAAATAGACGCGCTATGTGCCAATACCTACCTAATTCAGTCAATGAGTTGTATGCTGGAACAATAAACTTTTGATTTAAGATATTACGTTAAAACATCAAGTTGATGAAGAAGACCGGTTATTAAGGCATAGAGGATGGTCAATTCACAATTAATAATGGGACTAGTGCTACCATTTTCAATGGTATTGCTTACACTACTGAAAAAACATACAAATGTTCTTATTACTCGCCCATTCAAACAACTTTTGTTTTGATTATTTATTTAACCTTGTCGCGCTTCGCACAGTAAAATAAAGCAAGATACGAGTGTTGTTAAAATCTTCTCGCATCTTATCGAATCTTCTCGTAAAAGAAAAAAGAACTCGAATGTACATTTCTTATACATACTACTACTACTACATATATATATTTATTTTTATTATTATAAAAAGTATAAATTGATAATACTATACAAAGTATTAATTAAAAAGTGCTTTCAGTCATGACCGGACAGACGTGCATGGTGGTGCGTCCCATGTTAATAATAGGGAAGCCTATAATTACAACCGTATTACTCTACAAATATAAAGGATAATAAGAAAAAAATCGAAATTGAAAAATATGTTCATTAAATAGTTTTAATAATAATTATAAAGGAAGTGAGCCACGATCTTAATATATAGCTGTAACTTTATCTTCAACGCAAAGGGAGATGGACACGAGGTCAAATATTCAGTGAAAAGGTACACATTTTAAGTACAGCTATATTCAGTGGTGTAATATTAGTAACTGTTTTTTTAATAAGTAACTAAGTCATAGGGCCACTTAATATTGCGTGTAAAATGAGACTAGTCCTGAAGTTGTGACCCAAGAAATTTATTCTTAAAAAACGGGTACAGAAAAAAAATGTATACAATCTTTGACAAAAACAGCAAATAACAGAGGCCAACGAAATTTTTACCCAGAAACCAGAGAATACTTTGTTGTAGGATTTTGGTGCAGATTTGTTCTATCACGTCAGGTTTTTTGGAGATATTCTAACCTATAAGTACAAAAAACGCATGCCCCTTTTTGAAGTTATGTAACTCTTCACATTTTATTATGCCTAAAAAGTACACCCTGTGTACTTTTTAGGCATAATAAAATGTGAAGAGTCTTAAAGTTCAAGTCTTCAGTTTTCAAATGACGTTGAGTTTGCTTAGATATCATTTTTCTTCGCATCAAAACTAATCAAATACTGTCCATCCCGCGTTCAGCTAAGCTAAGATACCTTGTGTACTTTTCCAGGCATAATAAAATTTGAAGGGTTACATAACCTGAATAATGGGCAAAAATGGCGTTATTTGCACTTTAAGATAGATGTTTTTGAGATATTCTAATCTTAAAGCCTGAAAAAGTAAGGCATGCGTTTTTTGTCACAACTTCAGAGTTGTGACCCAAAATGAGACTAGTCCTGAGACTAGTCTCATTTTACACGCAATAAAAAAACAGTTACTAATATTACACCACTGAATATGGCTGTACTTAATGTGTACCTTTTCACTGAATATTTGACCTCGTGTCCATCTCCCTTTGCGTTGAAGATAAAGTTACAGCTATATATTAAGATCGTGGCTCACTTCCTTTATAATTATTATTAAAACTATTTAATGAACATATTTTTCAATTTCGATTTTTTTCTTGTTATCCTTTATATTTGTAGAGTAATACGGTTGTAATTATAGGCTTCCCTATTATTAACATGGGACGCACCACCATGCACGTCTGTCCGGTCATGATTGAAAGCACTTTTTAATTAATACTTTGTATAGTATTATCAATTTATACTTTTTATAATAATATGTGAATTGACCATCCTCTATGCCTTAATAACCGGTCTTCTTCATCAACTTGATGTTTTAACGTAATATCTTAAATCAAAAGTTTATTGTTCCAGCATACAACTCGTTGACTGAATTAGGTAGGTATTGGCACATAGCGCGTCTATTTAACACCTCTCTCTGTATTGCCAAATTATGAAAAAAAAATACAACTCAATTTCAAAAAGAGTGACGTATACTACTTAAAGAGTAAAATATTTAAACTAAAGCCACATAATCTTATTTTTTCATTAAAAACGTTATCGTTTGTGTATTTTTATATAAAGTTTTGTGTATGTGTATAAAGAGTTAATTTTGGTCTGTACTGTTTTATTTTATGATAAACCATGAGAGATTGCATATTGAAGTTGAAGCGCAGTTTATAATAGGCCACACTGATGTAAAAATTGGTGTTACCTGTATAAAAATTGAAAATTTACTAAACATTTCAGTAAATGGAGCAATCACTTTATTTATGAAACAAAATTTAAATTAGTCGTTTTGATATGTAAAATATATTATTTTGAAAAATTATATTGTTATTTGTGTGGATTTGTTATTTGAACGTCATTTTATAGTAGGTGGTCTCTCCTGTCAGCTTATCATTTAACAGACTTGCTTATTTGATGCATGTAGATAGATAATTCAAAATTATACATCGATGGCTGTTTAAACCGCTATCTCGCCGCTTCTTCTTCTTACTGCTTTGAGTGTTGTGGGTTCGATCCCCAAATGGGTCAAAACTTAATGAGATTCACAAATTGTTGTTCTGGGTCTGGGTGTTCTTTGAGTCCGTTTCATGAGTGTTTGTAAGGACCCCTCGACAGAATATATATTTCTAGTGCGGGAGTGTCTTTATTTAACAGGTTTTTGAGATATTCAGGTTTTAGGACGTTAAATAGCAATTCTGCGGCCGAACAGCGCACCAACATCCTTCGAGAAAGTATACTCTGGTTTCTGGGAAAGAAACTTTGTCAAATTTTGTTGGCCTGTGTAATTAGCAAAAAAATATGCTGTAAGGCCTATCTTATCGTGTGTCAAATATTTAAAGATGGCTTTGGCTACTCTGGCGTGAGTTACATGTCAGCACGAATTTTTTTTCTTGGCAATGGCTGTGGCAAAAAACTTTGGCACTAAAATTGCAAAAAATATATACGACAAAGCCTGTTTTGATAAGTGTAAGAAATCCGGAGATATAGCGTTGGCTAAGCTGGGTCAAAACTCAAACCATGACAAAAAAAAACAGATCTTTGGCAAAAAAAATAGCAAAGTGTAAGTGTAAGTTTTATTACGGCCCTATGACTTGGGTACGCTAGCTTCATAGACACTTAGTCTCCAAGCATTTGAATTAGTAACAATTTCTATAGCTACGTATAAACTTGACCGGATTGCGTTCCACTCGTGTGCTAAACCTGTTGTGCTGTAGGACTTGAATGACCCTTGGTTTGTCTTTCCTGCAATAGTTTAAGTTTATTGTAAGGGATAATTCTAAATAGGAGCTCAGGGTCAGCCCAGACAGACTGTGGTTGTGTGGACCAGATTGTTGATAAATATATTTATTTACAGTACTAGTTTTTGCCCGCGGCTCCACCCGCGTAAATGTCGGTTATCGCGGTAAAAAGTAGCATATATGTCTTTCCTCAAGAATCTAAGTATCTACATACAAAATTTCACCTAAATCGGTTTAGTGGTTGTTGATTCCCCCATACAAACTTCCACCCCCTTATTTTTGGGATAAAAACTATACCCTATGTTCTTTCCCGGGACTTGGACTATCGGTTTAGCTGTTTAACCGTGTTGAGACGCGGTTTTACGTAACAGACAGACAGAAAGAAAGGCACAGACAGCCACACTTTCGCA